CTTTACTCGGAACACTTTGTCCAATGTGAGTTTGCCCAGTTCTGAACGCATGGTGGTCTGTGCCAGCTGTGTGACAGCATACTCTGGATCCTCAACACCGTAGCTGGCCTGTGAACAAACAAAAGTATAAAGTGAATTTAAAAAAAAAAATAAAATAAGCAAGAAGATATTTGGATCTGTTCTAATTGTTGCCAGCATACCTTAAAAGGGTCTAGTATCCTTAAGTAAAGCACGCCATCAATCTGCAGTGTTACATTATCTGCAAGTTCAAAGAAAATATAACAATATGGAGAAAACAATCAATTCTGTTTAAAAAAAAAAAAAAGAAAGCCTGCTCGTCCTCCTGTGAATAATGAGAAATAAACAATGTCTTACTTACCTAGGGATACTGCAGACTGCTCTGGGACATCAATCACAATTTCTTTGAGACTTTGAACATAGCGAATTCTGTCAAGTATGGGTATGAGGAAGTTCAAACCCTATAGATAGCAAAAGGGAAAATGTTAGGGTGTGCCAGCAGTGAATAATGTTTGGAATTTTAATGACATAGTCCAATAATAAAGCAAAATGAGTTATAGTATTGTTGCTTAAAGGCAAGTTTCTTTAGTAGTCTATCAAAATAAAATACACTAAAATTTCCATGGTATGAATGACATGGTAATATTTGGCCTTTTAATGATTTCTTTGAAGTGGAATGGTTGTACAGCATACATCTTTAATTACTTTAAACAAATGACAATTGGGTGACCAAGTGTGAATTCAAGTTGGATTGCATGTATACATACGGGCTCAAATATAAACATACACTCACTTAATTGTGTTCATAAGTGGTGCTGAAGGTTCTACAATGTGTTTTAACTTGACAAGGCAAAGGCTGCCATCATGACTGACTACAACTGGTAGTTTCCATTTGTCAGCATTAAAATTATCTGTTTGACAGCACTCACTGAAGTGACCAATACTCAGACCAATGTGAAAGTTCAAGGAAATCAGTGAAGATCTAAGGAGAATTGTACATTTACACAAGTTAGAAAGATAACTTGAAGCCATTTCTAAACAGCTGCAGAATCTAAGATCATCAAACAAGCGTACAAAAATACAAGATAGTCAGATGTCTTACAGGGCTCTAGAGACAATGAAAAACACATCAAATCTGGTTATGGAATGGATAAAACACATTGACATTACATTTCTGGAGCAGCTTTTATATACCCCCAATCTTAATCCTATTGAAAATTTATGAATGAAGCACAAAAGCTGAGTCCATGTCAGGAAACCAGCCAGTTTAAATTAACTCTCCCAACACTTCCAAGCAGAGTGGTCAAATATCAGACTCAGTTTTATTGTCATTCAACAATTTGACATGTTATGAATGAAACACAGTTACTTAGGTCTTGGCATTGCATCATGCTGCCAAACAACAAGTGAAACAGTAGGAAGATTAATCAATTACCAAAAAAAAGTAAGAAAATATGCCACAAGTGTGATGATGGCATACGATCAAAATATGATCCAAATTGTCTGGTCAAGGTGCAACTTGATAAGCAAATATCAGTGGGCCTTTGTGTATATTTTTGAGTCTGTATAAACATTTGACCATAAATCCAAACTCATGCACCTAAATCTTGTTTTGTTTTTTTTTACATCATTATGTAACCCAGGGCTCTAGAGTGCAGCCTATTTGGCTAATTTATCAATGGTGCGACTAAAAAAAATATATATATATATATTAGGATGCATCGGTACGACCAGCTGTTCAAGTATTTATAAAAAAAAAAAAAAAAAAAGTCTTTGTGTGGTCAACAACAGACACACATTAGTCGTGTCCAAATTCATGGGCTGCATCCTCCTGAGGACCGCGAAGGCCGGGTCCTCAGAAGGTCGGGTAGGCCGGAAGTAAACGGCAGATTATGTTTAACAATGGTTTGGAGACTGCATCAAATAATAAATCACATACGATCCACTCCGAGCCATAGCCAACTGAAAGTAAAAGGGGTAAAGTATATACATTTCGAAGACAGTGGCTTGACCAGTTTCTTTGGCTAAGATACAGTAAAGCTGACAACATGATGCACTACATTTACTGTGGTGCAGTGGCGGTTTTTGATACGGGCGACATGGGGCATTGCCCAGAGCGGCATCGTGAGCATCTGCAAAGAAAAGTTGCTTGCAACATTGCCTATGATATTCCCAAAGAAGAAGCTCCGTCCACCAAGTTCAAGTCCAAAATAATTCTTCACAAGAAAAATAGCTTGAACATAAACCCACATACAGTAATGATGTCGCGTGCGCCCAGTTTATAGGTGTCATCCCAGACACACTGGGGGAAAAAAAAAGGCCAAATTACAGGAGCTGGCCATCTGAGGGGGAATGTGACTGCAATGGAGGATAGTCCATAAGATATCAAGCCTTTGAGACACTTTGAGGTCCTTTTAATTTAGAGTTTCTTTTTATTGATTAAATCTTGAGATGTTTTAAGTTTACATTTCAGCTCAGTGAAGCACTTTAAGCACAAGCACTTTTTCAGTAACTTATCTTTCTTACAGAACTGTGCTCCAAATAAATAACTTTGTGTTGACAAGACCTCTGATCACAACTGTATTTGATCTGTATTTGTAATTGTGGTAAGTTGGAAAGCTAGGATATGTAACTGTAATGCAGTTTAGTTCTATGCAATATGATTTGATTTGACCAAAATGAAAATTTATGAAGTTCATGGTCAAACTGGGGATCGAACCCATGTTGTTTGGGGAAGAACACCATCTATTTGTTGTGCTTTTTGTTTTTTGGGGATCTATTAAATGCAACAAAGTTTACCGGCTCCAAGATCCGATGGAAGCGACCCATCCTCTCCACCACCCAAGCCTCCTGCTGGGGCACAAACAGCACCACGGTGTTCATGGGCAGGCTGGACGCCCATCGCTGCTGAACTGGGTTAACGCACAACCTCGGCACGGTCCGCTGGGTCTGCTACAGAGGATTCATTAAAATGTAAACAGGTGGCATTACTGCATGAATTTGAGCCAAGACTCATAAGACTATCTTAGCTTGTAGAGCTTAAGGTTGCTGAATAAACATCAATGTTAATATTCTTGTTTTATGTTTCAATTTTAAGTTTTTGGTTAGACTTATTTGGTCACATTCTACATATTATATATATGAACGAGGTCATTGGTAAATACCCATTTGAGTGTATACAGTATGTGACCATATTAATCGACCATAACAAAGTCTTTCTCTGGCCATACCAGCTAACCAATAGTTCATTTTCATCTAGAAATAATCATTATGTCCGCAGGTGTTCCGCTAAAAATACAGTGCTATCGGGATTATTAAACGCACGGGCTCACGCTGATGAATGACACCTATTTCACCAGCCACAGAAAAGAACCGGTGCACGAGATGTTAAGCCGAAGGAGGCACACAGTGACAGTTTCAGTTACCTGCAAAATGAGGCCGCCGGTCCGACACAGCGTCCGTAACATCGCTGAAAGATTGCAAAAGGACTGTTTAAAATTAGAAGATTAGGTTTGGTAAACTACACTCTGTTGAGACTACACAGTCACGCGAGTGACCCTTACCGATCAGGAAATGAAAGTTACATCAGTGGTGCAACGCTGAAAAACTCCCCCAGCGCGGGAAACAAAAAGTCATACAGTGGTTCCGCTAATAGATACATTAATAATAATACATTTAAAAAGATATAAAAATATAGGACGAAATAAGTGACTTTAATACAAATGTTCACTGTATGACTATTATAGTGCCCTATAACTTTTGTCTTTCACATAAACTAGTATATTCTTTTTGCAGTATGTCTGTAACTATTTCACGTTTTAAAGGTTACTTTTATTGCCACTGTTCTCTTTAAGCACCTTTCATTGTGGAAGACTGATAATCTATTATGAAATATAATATATAAGTGTACTGAATCTTATTAGTTAATAAAAAATATTACTACTGGCAACTAATAGTTGAGTAATATTTCGACTACTACTACTAATTTTTTTGTTTTGTTTTGTTTTTCGTTAATAAATGCACTCGTTCTGGTGTAATGGCTGACACAATTCATAAGGTGGTGCTATTTGTTTCCTTTTTGCTCACTCAACTCAATGTTGTCTTTTGGGGTCATTTGGTGTATGTGATAGCAGTTAAACACACTGTGGGGGCATTCTGTATGAACCTTTTCTTTTTATTTCATTTTTTAAAGTAAATATTTATTTAATTTGGTAAATGGAAATGGAAAATGCTAATGTAAGGATTTATTAAATAGATCAAATAAAACCAAGCTCAAAGTCAATCTAAAATTGTGAATTATCAGTGCTCAGAAAGGATTGTTTTGCTAAAAACAAACACAAAGACTCATGTTATGTGTTTAAAAAAAGACAGAGAAACTCCATAAAAATATAGCAAATTCACCATTGTGGCACAATTTATTTAAAAAAAATATTGTACAGTTTGAAAGCATTGAAATGTAGTTTTACTTAAATTTTGTATTTATGGAAGAACTTGAAATTCATGAGATTCGTTAAAGAATACATTTTTCATATAGCTTATTTTACTGATCCCTACGAAACCTAAAATTTAGAAATCTACAGATATCTCCCCACAGTTTACTTTTTTATGTGTGACATGCCCAGAGCAAACACAGCTTAATTACAAAACTTTTTTTTGAATATTTAACAAACAAAGAACCAAAAAGCTAGGTCACTTTGAGTACCTTAAATGAATCTTTCTACTAAGAATCGTTTTATATTGTCTATGGTGAAATACAAAGTTCTGGATGTTTACTTGAATCTGTGCGCGTTACCTGTGTCCTCCGCCAACCTGTCCCTCCCGGCGATTGGACAAATGTCTACATAAGGCTCAGCGCTTTGGCATCCTGATTGGTTGCCTCAGATGCCTGTAATAGGTGTCCCGACCCCGCCTCCTCCCCCTCTCCTGTCTCTTTGCTCTCGGTCTATCCTTCAGTCTGGAAACCTGTGATGAGAGTTTTAATAATGGCGTGGCAGCAGAGAGGGGCAGCTGCTCTCTGCCCAGGTCCGGGACCGGAAACCCACCTGTAAACATCAAAGAGGAATTTATCAGCAATTTTTTTTTAAAAAAAATCTGTTTAGTGACTGTTATAATGTTACCTCACAGAGTAAATCTCCGCTGAGAGGTCGCTCTGTAAACTGTGTGAAACTACTGGATTGTCGCTGGAAGCGGTCGGTCATGTCGTTACTGTGCGTCAGAGGTAGGAGCTTTTATCTTTATTTGTACTTCATAAGCGATTTTGTCTTTGTTTGTTTGATGAGTTTGCTGAAGTCATAGTGATAATTCCAGTAACAGCTTACAAAACTGGTTTTCTAACAGTAGGCGTTCCTCCTTGGGTAGTATCTGGAAAAAAAGTACCTTTATCCTGACGTGATTTTACGTTTTTAAAAACCAAGACTTTATAATTTTTATCTTTAAAAACTCAACAGAGGTATGTATTTATCATTTATGTTGAAAATAAATCCTTGGGGTCCTCAGTGACAACTGAGGATTTTATAATCGAACTTTTAGTGTCTCGTCTTAATATCATCTCCCAGCATTAGTTTCGTAGGCCTCTACATTGAAAGCCTGATTCAGGGACCAATGCTGGGGGGAAAAGAAACCGTGTTTGCTATCAAGGAATCCGTCTTGTCAGAAGAAGGTTGATAACAAGGTTAGTGTTCATTCCATGTTAGCGTGCCGTCTACCAGAAGACTACAGCGAATCGGCTGGAGTGATGGTGGAGAATCCTGCTTTAGAGGCTTTTACAGCAGAAGAGCACATCATGCAATATCCCATTCAGCAAGAAGAAGCCTGACACCCAACTATTTGCTCCACTGCTGCTAAGAGCTCGATTAAAAAAGAAGAAGAAGAAGAAAAAACTACCCCAAACAGAGATAACTGCCCCCCCCCAACTACACAAGCATGCCTATCTGCAATAACACAGCCATCCTCACCAAACTACTTGATTTTTTTTTTCGTCTCCACAAAATTTAGTCTCTCAGAAATTAATCTATATTACTCTATGTTACTCTTACTGACTGCTCATTAGCACAGAATCCTTCATGGGAGAGTTTAAAAGTTTTGGCATCTGCTATAGAAGTAATGGAGCATTAATAATCCCCACTGATAAGAAATTGGAATAAAAGTCTTTTTCTTCTTTGTAATTCAGTCTTTGAACATGTTTTACCTGAAAACAAATAGGCTTTACTATATTGTTTCTCTGAGTGTATATTAGGGCTGGGCCATATCATACCGTTCACGGTAATACCGGTATAATGTCGGGCAACGATAAGAAAATGAAATATCGCGATAGAATATGGGTAAAACACGCATGCGCAGTGCCTTTGTTTTCATACGCACATGGCGGAAAAAGCATGGCGGCGACGCAGAATGAGAAGGGCGAAAGTGGATCGTTAAATGAAACTGATGAATCAGAATTGGTTTGTAAAAATGCTGCAACTTCATTGGTGTGGAACTGGTTTGGCTTTTGTCCGTCAGATACACAACAAAGCACTATTTTTAGTAGAGCATGCTAGCGGCCGTCGTTATTGCCGTGTGGTTTGGAAAATACGGAACACTTAAAATCAATCCTTTGATTTTTCTGAAAATCGACAGTGCCCCTTATAATCCCGTGTGCCTTATGTATGAATTCTGGTTGTGTTTACTGACCTCGAAACAATTTTATGTCGTACACGGCGCTTGAAAATCTGTCAAATGTTTTAGTACGACTTTGCTAAGCTACGAACCCACACCGCTTGATGGATTGTCGGAGCATTAAGGCTATCGTAGGCAGGCGCCTCGCGGAGTGATACGTACTGTGCTTCAACATAATATTACCGTATTATGTGTATAACCTCTTTTTAAGTTTTGTGGATATTATACATGGTTATGCTGAGGATATGTTGGCCAATTTCCACTGGAAATGCCTTTTGGTTAAACTGTCAGCAAGGATTTTGCATTTGCACTGTTAAATTTTTATATAACTTTAATGCACATAAAAAACAGCTGCTTGTTTAAGTGAAAATACATTGATTTTTTTTTTTTTTGCACGAATAAAGTTGTGGAGTTGTAAAGTATTTTGTCTAGTGTCAATTATATCGTCAGTTATATCGTTATCACAAATTTTCAAATGTATATCGTTATAAATATTTTTGGTCATATCACCCTGCTCTAGTGTGTATTCCTGATAGTGTACTGATTAGCTTCCAAGTAATGGCAAAAAGCCAATGACTGTGTTTACATTAAAAGGCACATTTTCTTTCTTTTTTTCCATTTAGTCCACAAATTCTTGTTATCTGGAACTTGTGTGCATGAACCTATGCATGCCCAGACACATCTGTGTTACAAGTGTTGGTTATATGTACATCAAATATAAATCTGTTTAAGTACCAATGTACTTTCTGGTAAAAATAAATAAATAAATAAATTGTGAATATAGTTAGACTCAGGAGGTATTGGGACACCTGTGCACCATTCTGAGAAACACAAGGAATGGTTCAAAAAGAAGCATTTGATCTCACTTGCTTGAAAAAGTTAATCTCAGTGCCTCTGCCAAACCTCTGGAAAGACTGTTCTTCTATTGATTAGTGAAATTAAAGCTAGTAGGAGCTGCAGCCAATAGATTACAGGAAAGGTTAGAGGAAGAGGAAGAAGTAGAGTAGATTAGCTTAAAGGGTGCTTGGGCAGAAGCTTTGTGATTAACTAATGTTGTGAGTCATCGTTTGATAGCACAGCTTGACAGTGTTGCCTATTTATTGCTAGTTGAGATGTTTCATCACCATGGCAATGTCTTTATACAATAGATAAGTGGTTGCCCTTACGAGTGAACATGTGGGGGAAACTCTTACTGTGCATCAGGTCAAGGCTGAGTTGACACATGGTTCACGTGGATGACACGATGCTGGAGGACTGGAGATGCACAGATATTGTGTATGACATTGACATTGCTGATTGATTTAGTTACATGATATTTGTGGTTAATAAGATTTTCTTCGTTTCGAAGGCAGATGAAGAATCTGCAAGAGCTTATGCTTGGCTGTTAAAAGAACGCTTTGTGTGGTGCTCCACTTGAAATGGAAAACATTAATTGAAAAATGAGGACAAAGATGATCATTGAACTGTGGAGTCGCATACTTAAATGTTGAACATTAAAGCAATTACATTTGCAAATTGCAGGTGGGTTACATTATTTTAATGATTTTTGGATTCAGGTCAAGTCATATTTGCCTGAGGGGCATTCATTATCTGGACAGGAGGTAAAAGCCTCAATGCTTGTATTCTTGGTGTCAACAAGGATTATGAAAATGGTAGAAACCTCCAGAAAGAGGGAGGGATCTCTACTCCAGTCATGTATTAATTAAGTGTATAGAATAGAGCAACATCCTGATTTTCAATTGTGATTAAAAAATTATGCAGAGCAAGAAGCTGTAGCTTGCTCAGACCACCGACACATAGACCTAGAGACTAGTCAGCACCTGACTGGTTCGAGTAGTTGCTGGCAGTCACAGTAAAATTGATTGCCAAATCCCTGTTCATGCAGGCTTAAAGACTGGACAGTAACCAATAGATAAATACTATTCGCTAGTTACAAATGTGTATACAGTTTTTGCTTTGAAGGCAAAATGTCCCGGTTTTTAGTTTGTGTTTGACTCTTTCAAGTTTTACTACAGCTTAACAAGAGTTTGCAGACAAGTTTATGTCTTCAGTGCAAACTATGGGCAACCGTGGCAATCTGATGGCAACCAAAGCAGTCAAAAGGAGGCCTCTGGTACAGCATAGTCTTTGTGACCAATTTTGCCAGGAACCTTCAGCCACAGCTTGCAACTGGTTGAGGAATACACATTTTCTGAAAAAGCATACACATTTTCAAATATGAGCCAAGTCTGCTTGGCTCATATTTGTCTACAGCCGAGTCAGTTGCTGAGGACTTATGCTGAGATAATAATTATATAAAGGATGCAATGGAGAGATAAAAGTGACTGAACTGGAATCTAAGGGGTTGAGTATAGTAACCATCCGAGTAGAGGAATTATGAGAGAAAGACAGAGTGAGAGAGAGAGAGCTTAGAGATTGTGGGAGTAATCCCCTTGCCATCTGTTGCTCTCTCTCCTCTTATTACCAGCTCCAAGTGATCAGATCCAACAGTCGACACAAAGCGGAAGTACGCCACTGCTTTGACTCTGGTGTCATTTCCTGTTCCTACTTTCCTGGTTTGTGCCTGCCTGCATGTCCTGTTATTTGGTACATCAACATTTTCCTCTTTTCCTCACCCCTCTATGGATTGTAGAGCAGTCTGTGTATGTAGCAAGTGAAGTTGACTAAATCCTGCAGTGCTTTAAGAAACAGATTAACTGAACTGAATTTAAATGTCCAACCCCCAATTAAAAAATAGCTAAAAATAATTTCTGAACACTGATATTATTTGCTGTTCATTCGTGTTTATACAGAAGAAATAAAGTATAGATACTGTTTGCAGGGGGTTAAAGTCATTATTTGGCTTATGAACATCATGAGCTGCAACTTCAGAATTAGCACACATTTTTAGAAAATCTCTATCTATGAAGTCGTTTTTTTGTTTTTCTTTTAAATTATCATCTGGATAACACAGATTGCTACAAATCGCTAACAGTATACAGTTTGTTTGGTTTCTCAGAAAGCTGCAGGATTTTGTGATTTTTAGTCACATTATAGATGTTCGGAAAGCAAAATGGTTAAATAAAATTCAGCTATTAAAACTGTGAGCAATACACTAGACACCATCTTATGATGTTATCACACCAGCTGTGAAATCTAACATGTCAGTGGTCATGGACACAAATTGTCATGCTTTTGCAGGTTAAAGTACCTCAAAGGTCTGCTGTTTGAGGAAACATTTTTCATACTATAAGCACATATTATGTCCATTTAAAAGGGGAGGTATCACCATGGCGACCAAGGCAACAAAGCTTTAAAAGAAGTGGAAACCACTGTATCCCAAACCATGATCTTTTTTTTAAACGGTAACCCAGTTTTATGTTCCCTTACTTAAAAAATATGTTCTTTGTAATGTCTAACCCCAACCAAGTCACTGCAAATGTCTAAACTTAACCAAGCACTGCGTTTTGTTTTTTTATTAATAACATCATTAAAAGAATACAAATGTTGTGTGACAATCTATGGCTTGTATAAACTGAACACAAATCTCAAGATGATTTGCTCTACCAACAACCTCTGACCTTCAAATGCAGACTCTTATTGTGGTATTGTTTTCATCTCCATGGACAGGAATCACTACATAAGAGATGATTGATGAGAAGTTGTGTTGAGTGACCCAAAATAATGCTGAAAAATGAGTTTTCAGGAACAAAAATAAACATTACAATTTGTGTCCATAAATGTTAATCAATAAAATAGAGAACAACTTAGAGGTGACTATTTCGTGAAGTGTTGTGAAACTGTGTTGCATATGTACCATCTGCAATAGTGCAGCTGGTGTTAGTTTCAATTTATGAGGTAGTGTTTTGTGTCATCATGTCAAATTTGTAAACTGCTGGGGGAAAGCGCTTTACTTTGCTAAAGAGAAATGATACTGGATAGTACTGGGGTGGGGGATCTACTTTTATTGAGACATGCGACTGCATTAATATATTTGAAACAAAGTATGATCACAAGCAAGTAAAATTAACCAAAAAAGAAAAGAAACCAGTAGGTTTTGAAGAACAGTAGATAAAGATCAACTACACCCATCAAATTAAGCATGGACAGAAAACGATAAGGATCAGTTTCCACTGCAATCCCCCTCTCTCTGGTTTAATGACCTCCTGCTCTTTGGTCCACAGTTAAAATTAAGTGATGCAAATGAGAAAAGAAGGCCACAGCCAGCTCATTTGACTCAGTGGAAAAAAGAATCATACTGCTAGCTTCACTGAAGATTTCCACTGTTCCACAATGAGTTATGTAAAAGACAGGAAACACTGGGGGAGGACCAGTGGTCTTTTTTTTTCTTTTTCTTTTTTTTGCTTTCCATTGTTATCCTAGAAGTAAATTCGGTTAACTCTGTGTCTTTGATTTGTAGTCTTTCAGTTTACATTTGTGGCTGCATGTGTTAGGTTTGGTGCATTCCACTTCAACCTGCATTTTTATTCATTCTAATCGTTACTTCACTATTAGTTTTCTAATATGCAAATATTACTTTGCTGTATTTATATGCATATGGTTCTCTGTAATTAAGAGTAATTAAGAATGATCAATTATTAGAAGACCCGAAAACTTTATACTATTGTTTTAATGTGCACAGAAAAAAACAAGGAATGGTACATGAAAATATGAAAGCGTTATTTGTGCCTCCATCATCCCATTCTGGACATCTGGCAGCTCAGCCCTTAGAGATTTAGTAGGTTATATGCCTGCACACATAACCCTGCCACTGCAATCACAACTAATCCTCTTCAAATCGCTTCACAATCCCATAAACATTATTGTAAAGATGCATTGAGGGGCTAAAGACGGCAGGTCGACTTATGAACCAAAATCGAGCAGCACGTGGTTCTTCACCATAAGTAATGTCTGGAGGTTTTTGGAAATGGCTGCTGTTATCAGACATTTTTGGTTTATTTTGTATCTTAATACCCATCTGCCTGAGTCCCATTTTTCCTTTGTTTTGTTTTTTTTGTTTGTTCACCAGCTGTTAAGATTTGTGATGCAGCTGTCAAGGCTTATGCTTCATGATTATGTAAAAGTTGCAATCCAATAAAAATGTATTTGTCACTGCTAATAAAACAGAGGTGCCAGTCTTTAGTATCCCATTTTTCATTGATTTAACTTTGAAGCGTTCTAACTAAAACGATAAGGTTTTTACAAATATATTTTACTATAACTGAACTGTTATGCATCCGGTTTATCAGTTATGAACTTAGCAAAACTATTAACTATGACACAATAATTTGAATGAAGCTGAAAAATATAAATAGTGTAAAGTTGATTTCTTCACATAGTTCTTCTGTTTTGATCAAACTGCACAAGAGTTCCTAAAACAAGATGATGTGTTTGTAGTCTTCATTTGTTGCACGTTGCACCAACTTATGACTTACTTGCAGTGTTGGGCAAGTTACTTTGAATAAGTGATTAATTATAGTTACTAGTTACTTCTTCAAAAATGTAACTGAGTTACAAGACTCTAAAAGTAATTAATTACTTGAAAAGTAACTATTGCGTTACTTGGCCATTTTTTGCTACTTTTGATTTTACCTCTCCATTTCGCCTTTAAAAACTATTTACTGCCTTGTTTGGTATCATTCTTTTCAGCACAATCTCATGTGTCTGAATTTACAGTTATGTTTTCATTCTGACATATTGTATTAACACAATTGATCTAAAATCAGACAAAAAACATAAAATCCGAGTAGAGAAAAATAAATTTTTTACTGTAACAACCACAAACATGTTTATTGAATCATATTTCATAACTTTAAATGCAAATATAAATTGTCAATTTTAAAATCATATGCACAAGTTTTGCAAACAACAAAGTTATTTGCAGCCATTTACCTTTTTTAAAATAACCATTTCAAACTATTTACATTACAATCAGCTGTTCCGCATTAAAGTAGATGCCACACAAATTATTTGTGCCACTCCCAAAAAATAATTTCTGTCCACTATAAAGGAGAACATCACAGCCTGATACCTGAAACACGCGTATATATTGTTTATCATGACTCTTGTTTTACGCGGCCTATCAACACAATTTAAAAACTGGTATATATCACCTTGTTGCTTTGTCATCTTGAAGTGGTCATGTGATTGGCTTACCACGACTACTTTACTCTTCCTCAGTGAAACAGCAGCACTCATGCGATTGTTTTGCCGCCTTAGCTCCAGGTGTTTTGCCAAAAAGTGATCGACTGCCAGAAAGTGATTGCCATCCGCGGGTGCGCGCGCAGCTGCCTCAAGCTGTAGGGCCCAGATCACTTACAGCTACTTCAGTGCAACTGATATAAGATGCGGTAAACCGAAGACAGGTTCAACCGTCTGAATGTTGAAAAATAGTAACGCGACCACGCCGCATTTTCTTGTTAGTAATGGTAACGGCGTTGTAACGATAGGAATAGTAATTAGTTAGATTACTCGTTACTGAAAAAAGTAACGCCGTTACTTGTAGCGTCGTTATTCTGTGTTTGTATTTTAGACTTGTCTTTTAAAAATAATTTTAAAAAACCAAACTCTTTTGATTCAACATTGTATTACCATCATTTGACTTACATTGGAGTAGTATATCGCTTTGCTACAGTACATAATTTACATATTGGAAGTTTTGTGGATGTTAATCAAATGTCAGATGTATTCATTAAAAACAATAAGTTTGAAATAATTTATTTAAATAATTTAAAATTCTATTTACACTGTGCTTTTAAACTGTGTTTTAGGTACATAAACACTGGAAAGGGTTAATTTTAGGTCTTTGGTAGGTGAGACCCCTCAGGGGCCTAAGATTTACCTATGTGTCAGTTTTAGTTACGTATTATAGTACGATGTTTATTCTTAAGCTAGTGCAAATTAAATTTATGTAATTGAGCTAATCTTTGTTTTTGTGTGTGTGTCTGTGTGTTTCTGTGCGCTGTGCAGTGAAGAAAGCCAAACTCCAGGGACCACCAGGTAAGAACTTTCTTTATTCACAAACTTTATTCCCATTCTCAGGCCATTTTACCTTACATTTTACTAATGTTCATTGTTCACAGCTGGTGAGAGATTTATATGCTGTGAAACTTGTGGGATTTTTGATTATGTTTATTGGTGTTTGTTTGTTTGTTTGTTTGTAAAAACAAGAATGTCTGAACTCTCATCCATGTTGAACTGTAAATTAACTCAGTTATCCAGTTACCCAATGAGGATGTCCAGAATTCTACACATTTTGATCAAACCACCACTACTTCTGTGAGGTTGCTTTGTGTAGACTTTGTTAAAAATATGCCATGTGTACTAATTGTCTTATATAGGTTAATCTCTTAAATTCTGGCAAGTCACTACAGGCGCTAGGGTTGATTTTGTGTTACGCAATCCTGGGTCTTTCAGTGTCATGCCATGCAGGTGGACATAGATCAGTGTCCAAATCCCCAGACTCTCCAACTAGGCAAATCCCTCTGGTGTTCAGGCTCTTGTCTACCTTTACGCCCTGTGACATTTCTGGCAAGAGCAGAGAGGAGCACTAATATAAAGTCAACTTAGCTTTGAGTTTGCCATTGATATTTTACTCATTTGATGCCAAAATAACTTCTGTAAAGTTTTTTCTAACCCTTTTTGTAAAATTTCTGATCCCTTACAAAATGTGAATTCAAAAAGAAGTATTTTGTAAATCATTAACGTCCTAAAGTTAATAAAAAATGTAAAAAATTAATGGAGGGGTAGCATAAGAGTGGAAAAGTTGTTAATACTATATACCTGTGATACATCTCACAACTAGTTATGTTCATAAGCAACACATAATGGATGTGAATGGGTATCAGAAAAGCATTTCGAAAAAGGCTAAACCTTTTAGAAACAGAGAAAACTGGAAAAGTGTTCATTATTCTGCACAGGACAATAGTTCGGGGATTTGAGAATGACTCACTGTGACATTAAAATAACTTGGGATTTCATCATCAGTACATAATATCATTGAAAGATTCTAGGAAACAATACAGTATTAGTTTTTGGCTTTGTGTACAAGCCCAAAAATCATTACCGAGTGGCCATAATCTTCTGGTCCTCAGACACTGCTACAATTTATAAAAAGAAGTGATTATCTAGAGGAAGTAACTACATGGACTCGGGACCACTTCAGAAAACTTCTGTCAATTAATGCTATGGTGCATTCACAAATGTAGTTTAAAAACCATCAACAAGGAAGTAAAATATACAAATCAGATCCCAAAACACTCTGTCCCAGTACTTGTTTAAGATCCACTGAAAACTGTCATGTGGGTTGACCAGTCCAAGATTGAAATTCTTCCTTGAAATCTTGGACACTGTGCTTTCCAGGCTATTGATAATGGGGGACATCAGTGCACAGCTGAAAAGCTAGCATTTGCCTTTCAGACAGTGTCTTCACTTTCTAATGCTGTGAGTTCAGTTTTTCTAGCCAGCATCAAGTGACTGAAGTTGATGCTTTTTTAAGTTTTTTGTTGTATTGTCAGTTTTCAAAGGGCTTCGTAGCATTGAAACTTTAAAGGGATTGTAAGACTTTGCTTGGCTGTCTATGACCTCCTCCCTCTTCCGGGTCATACGACATGTGACACCTGTCTCAGAGCAAACATTAGGTGAATTTCACTTTAGCCAGGCATCTCTCTGAAACAAAATGTAAACACTAGTCACTTTTGTTGTTGGTGGGGTTTTTTTAGAGGGCAAAGATGGAAACGAAGGCCTGCGAGAGAGTTCTTAGCTAAGAAACAAAAATAACCAAATAATAAGTTTAGCATTTTCATGTGTTTAAAGATGTCCCTTGTAATGTGTTATGGTGTTAAAGATTTTGTCAAAAAAGTGTATCAAGAGTAGCTTTTAAAAAATGTCATCAAAGTAAAATTTCCAACTAATCTAAATGAGCTGTTTTCCTTACGACTTATGAAGTGATATCAGCTCAATAAACTGATGTGTGAGCTTATGAGTAAAGGTGTTTTAGAAAACAGACTTTGAAAATATACAAATAATGAACTAATGTATTTTATTTTATTTTTTTCAGCAAATTTGGTTAAACATAGCCAATGCTGTTTTGCTGTCCTACTTTTTTGGCACCGTAAAGTGTGGCCATGATCCAATGAGCATGAAATATTTTGATATGCTGCAAATGCAATGGTTTGTGCTTCAAAACTGCATACCATGATGTGTTGAGCTGCAAATTGTAAGATCAGATTTCTGCATTTTTTTTATGATTATTGCACCATTTTACTTTGCATTTTTGTGTGAATAGCAATAAGGGATAGATTCTGAAAGAACATATTACTTACCAGTTTTCTTACCTCATGATAATTGTACTTGCATAGGGTGACATGTGACTTATTGGAAGAGGCCTCAAAGTTTACATAAGGCTGGCCTGGGATTGATGTTTGTATTGTGTCTACACCACACCTGTGCTTGGATGGCTTTTAGGCCTTATTTTGGCACATATACACAAAGAGTTTTGAGAGAATACTGTAAAACAGAAGGTGACGTTGTTTGAACTAGTTAGCAGTCTATCTGTCTATCCACTGATTTGCAGATAATAGCTGTGTGCTGCTAGATGTGTGCTGAGGCAGAGTCTCTGGTTGGAATAAAATGGGGAATATATCATTTTAATCACAAGCTTCTCTTTTAACTAAGTAAAAAATAGACTTCCAGGTAATATAATTGCCTGGGGAACACTATTTTTGCAAAACTAACTTACACATGAAGATATTCAAGCAATGGTAGGAAAGTCCTCTGATAAATGTATGTTTTGTGTTGCATGCAATATTGATAAGTGGCCTGATGTTGAAATGCCAGTCTTCCAGCTGCCTGCATTTTCCTGACTAATTTATTACTAAGAAAACTCATCACTAATCAATAATGAATGAAGACGTTTGACTGAGGGTTTACGGTGATTCTCAGAACATCACATGATCATTCGATTTTTTGCTGCTTAAGAGCACATTGACTGGTGTGCCTTCACTGTTTTACTGTGTGTGTGTGTGTGTGTGTGTGTGTGTGTGTGTGTGTGTGTGTGTGTGTGTGTGTGTGTGCGCACACATAAGCATGTTTAAATTTGCACCAACATGGTCAACAGATCATGTTTCTTTACATGTAAGCAACAGTTTGGGTTAGGCAACTTGACTCAATCAACACTGCACTTTCTTTCTGCAATGGGCCTACAGAATGCATAATCTTATGCATTAATCTTATTAAAAATTTCATTATTTTACAGTATCTGAAAATTCTCATTAAATGTGCACACTGATGGTTAAAACTGGTGTAAAGATTCTTGAGGCAGACACTGATTTTAAGATTTTAAAATCAGTGATTTTAAGAAGATTTTTAGAATTGGATAAATATAACTGTCTCATAAACACATTGAAAAACAAGCAAACTTGATATGAAACTGTCTTAAGCAGTATATTTGGCTAGTGACTAATGTGTCTTTTCTTTACTGCACTTCCCATGTCTTAATAGCCTGTAAGTATATATAAGACATATATTTGCAATAATTTAAAGATGATTTATCCAACTATTGTGCTGAGATTACTGTAGAGATATCCATAATTTCTTTTTAAATAATTGCATATTGACTGAAATGTTGGTTTTCATTAGATCTTTGTGATCCTCATACTACACAGTGACCATATAAAACATATCTCTCATGTAGGGTAAGGCACTGATGTGCAGGTGGATACCTTGCTTCTGAATACAATAAAGATCTCTAATGGAGTTAGCAAGAAAAAAAAGGGCAAAAAAACACTTTTCAGCATACTGGATTTTGAAATCTGTGTGGAGTTAAATCTATATTTACCAAGTTGCTTGTCATAACAAGTTACAAAGAAAGACACTGTAGACATAAAATGTGACCACTTAGGAAACGTACCTTCGGTTTTATCTTGAGCATTTGTGTTTGCTAAACTCATATAGCAGTTATAGCCCAGTTATTGCCTAGCAGATTTGACCGGTGACAAATAAGTTTGTCTTTTCTTTATTACACTTCCCATTACTTACGTACGTACTTATGCTTACATGCACTATCATATATTTGCACTAAGCTAATTATTACATGTGTATGATGTGTTTTATAATAGTGGTATTTTGACTGAAATTTCAGTTTTCATTTAATGTTTGTTGTCCTCAAACTATACAATACAAACATAAGACTAGTCTGTTATATTGGTGAGACATTGCTATGCAGGTGGATACTTTTTTTCCCTCTTTTTTCCCTCCAGTCAGTTATTACTTCTTCCTCCTCAACGGTGTCAGCCGTATCAAGGAAAACGCCTGGTGTAAAGGTCCGGCAGCCACTAAGTGGCTCTTATCTAATCCATACATCCTCTTGCCTTATCTCGTCTCTGCTATTCATGGGAGCTGGCCCAAGTGTGGCACAAGGCATGGAATATCTAATTAGGGAAAAGCTTCAGCATCCCCGAGGCAACTTTAATACTGTGTGTGTTCTGTTGCTACTGTTTTCACAGGACACTAATTAGGTCTGTGTCCTGTCAGTCCTGGTTCGCGGTCTCAGTGTCACTTCAGGGATTCTGCGCTTTCAGTGCACTGTTTCAGTGTGCAGTCTTAAGTATCTATTTATGTTCTGTGTCAGTTATATGAATCCACCTGTGTCAACTGCTGGCAGTCCTATTATGCCAAGGAGTTGATTTTACTTATCTGGCTGCTATGTTAAATGCTAGTGTAGGGTAAATGTTTCAGTTTGTTGCTGGAGGAACCAGGGTAATCTTTGTTTAGTGTGGTCATGTGACTGGTCTATACAGGAACAGCTGATCTCTTGCTTTTGTTTCCCATAGACCAAAGAGGGTGATTTGTGTGTGTTTGTACTGCCTGCTTGCACTGTTGGCTGTCCATATCAGGGAGCCACCATTCAGAAAATCAGAAACTCAGAACCATAAACGTGCTGTCAGTTTATGGAAAACATAGTCATATTAATATAGTTGTATATTTTTTTGCTAAAAACTTCAAGATGATATCCATCCAGCCGTATGTTGTTAAATTTTAATATAATTTTCTGCTTGATAGTCTTGTCATTTTGTTGGCGTGAGCATTTATACCTTGCTACTTGTGCTACTCTAATTGACGTGAGGAAACATTGTTTATACGAAGGTGTCCTTTTAATATCTTGAATCAGATGATTGTGAGCTATTCCCTGAGTAGTATTCCATGACATATGATAAAGTATATTTTATTTATCAGTCAGAAACAGACATCCTTTTTCCTTTCCCTTTCAGTCCTCCTCCCACTCAGCTTTTGTGTCCATGTGGGGGGATTGAGTTGTAGCGAGGACCACCAGTTGTGCAGGACTGGTAACTACATGAGGAAAAATGAGCACATCAACAGGCACGTGTTGATGCCCCCAACCCCACAGTAGGAAATGAAAAGCTGGTAGTTTTAGCACGGGTTGCCTAATCCCTCATCCATCCACCCTCCCCTTCAGCACTGACCGCTGAAGCATACAGTTTTTGAGAATCGGCTGTCCAGCACTACTGGTGGAAGGAAGTTGACTGAGATAACTGGGTGTGAAAGTTGTATACACGCACACAGACATTTGAGTCAATGTTTCAGTGGTTTTCACAGGCTGTAGACTCCTAGCAGGGCTCAATTTTTGTGTATAGGTCACACAGTCAACAGTTGCGTCAAATGTTAAAAATGCAACTAAACCAACTATATTCTATGTATTGATGATATTAGGGCTGACAGAGACCTTTTCTGTAATAGTAACAGGTCAGTAGTGACTTCAGCTTTATTACATCATGAGCAGGCATGCTTCCTTTACAACGTGTATTTTTTAGAGGACAAGGGTATTTTAAAAAACAGCTGCACTTTATAGTGGACTAGAGACGTACCATGTATTTGTACATCCTGTAGTACTATGTGCTGTGAGGGTTTGGCTCTCATTGGAGATTAACAGGGTTGATTTGGTGGCCTGGGTTTGGCTTGATATAGTCGGGGGAGGAGACTTATCTGCTTTTACTCTCACTGATAGTCCTGATGTCTTTTTTTTTCCTCCTACAGAAAACAGAGGTAGACCTGGCATGGTAGTTCAAACATCACCTCTGTTGTTCTATCCAATAGTAGACTGTCCAGAGTCTTACTATGCTATGTGTCTTCATTACTGCTTAATGAATCCCATATATTCCTGTTAACTCATGCGTAACGCTCGCTCTCCTCCATATGCTTTCAATGCATTGCTGCCTCCTCATTATAATTAAATCGTAATCTGCCTTTTCCTCTGTTTCAGATAAGTTCAACACCTATGTGACGCTGAAAGTGCAAAATGTTAAAAGCACAACTATCACTGTGCGTGGGGACCAGCCCTGCTGGGAGCAAGATTTCATGTTGTAAGTCAATCTGAAATACAGAAGCAAATACAGAAACACACCATTTATCATGGGGAACAAAATCAAACATTAATACATAAAAAACCACACACTCTGCAACTCTGTGATAGAAACAACACATCCACAATTTTATCTCTCCAAGCTACTCATCCGAAGGCTTAAACGCTACAGTTTTTCATCTACTCCATTCAGTTTAAGACAATATATCGTAAAACAGCTGTTGGTCATTTCCTCCTTATAATTTATTGATTTAATTTCCCCATTTTCTTTTCCCAGTGAAATGTATGTATGGTGACACAAAAGGCAACACTTTGTTGCATGCGCACCATTGTTTGTCTTTTGTGAACTCCCTCTTTTGGGACAGTGTTTGTTTTTCCAGGTCCCCTTCCTCCAACTGTCCATTCATGCTTTGTCACTAGGTGTAATTCCAGGTTATTCATCAGGCTTTCCAGCAAATTCTGAGCACCATCTGTTACAGCGACCCAGCTTAAATTTAAGCAGAAAATGGGAACTTTACAATTTCAAACTTTGTATCTTAGTACCTACCATGCAATTATTTTTTTTTAGGATTTTTATGTTACATTTGAAATATATTGTCTAAAAACATCATCTGAACAAAACAAATGAGTAAGTAGTGGTTGTCTCAGTTTTGGAAATTAATAACTGCAATTGTTTATTCAGTTGCACCTTCTCTTAATTTAACAAGTCATAAAAATTTTTTTACATTTTCTTATGTTTTGTTTTTTGTTTTTGTTTTTTTGGCCTTTTAGCACCTGACTATCAGATTTGTTAAGGTCAGTAACATTACTCCATATAGGCTATGGGCCTGCATGCGCCAAGACAATAGCCCATGAAATATAAAATGACACCATCACTAGTCTAAACTTTGATAAAAGGCAGATTAGATGTGTTTTTGTGTTGTTTATGCCAAATTCTGACCCTGCAGCATTTTTCCAATTTTCCACTGTACAGTTTCGCTGAGTCTGTGCAAATTTGAGCTTCAGTTTCCTGTTATCAGCTGACAAAAGTGGCATCAAAAGTGGTCTTCTACTGCTGTAGGTCATCTGTTCCTAGGTTCAGTGTTTGGCCTTTTTTAACCTTCCCATCAACTCAGCGCAGCCCATTATCCTCTGACCTCCGGCATCAAAAAAGCATTTTCACCAAGAGAACAGCCACTCACTGGATATCTTCTCTTATTTTTTTGGACCATTCTCTGTAAGCTCTAGAGATTGTTATGCAAGAAAATCTCAGTAGATCAGCAGTTTGTGGACAGTAAAAATCACACCACGTTCAGTGTCACTTTTTATAATGCAATATTTATTTGCTTTTAGAACAAAGGGAAACTGTCTTATACAGCACACCACAAACATACAATATATTTGGTTTCCCGAGAACATTACCCCAAACCCTAAGTCCCTTTGTGACTGACTGATTAGAAGTTTACTTTAATGAGCAGTCAAGGAATTGTACCTAATAAGTAGCCGGTGAATGTGTATTCATATAAGGAAAAACAGTCCTGTACGAATTTAAATTGAATTAGGTTGGACTACATGGTTGTAAATCAGTCTACACAAAGTGGTTGGAAAGTGATTTAAAGAAATAAACGATGATGCTTGTATTTGTATTTGAAAATAGATTGCAATTTATCAGCAATTTTGGCTTTACCACTTTATTTTGCATGTTTAAAAAAGACATGGATAATGCAAAACGTTAAAATAAAAGGTGGCACAACTGGAAAGATAATCTAAACAGCAACATGAACAACAATAAATCTCCCGGTTAAAAATAGCCCCAGTTAAATACCTTGCTATATGTATTTATTCTCTTTTTCAATGAGCAAATGATTTAGGAGGCCTTTATCTCTGCACCTGAGCTCTCTGGACCCCACCACCCTCACCCCCACCCTTGCTCTTTTTTTAATTATCTTTTCTCTGATCTTGTTTTTGTTTGGTCCGTCAGTAGTTGTAAAGTGGCACAGATGAGAATATGCAAATGCCCTTGGTGTGTGGCTGCTTTTAAAATTCATGTGCCATTCTAATACTGTCATCAAGCTGTTTTTGAGCCCTTTGAATAGCATGTTGAATGACAAAACAAGGCTGGAAATGATTATGACAGCTAATACAGGACAAAATGAGGAAGTAGCTTTTGTAGCTAAAGCAATAGTAGCTCCTGATAGCAATCCTTTAGAAATTTCTGGTTTAATTTTTGCTTTTGTTTTTTTCCATTTTAAAAATTTCTTATAACGAAGTTACATTACAACACAGTTATTGTTTCATTCTTTTATTCAGTGACATTTTATCATCATCATCATTTGTTACTTGAATTTGCACAGTGAGATCAACCGGCTGGACCTCGGCCTCATTGTTGAGGTGTGGAACAAAGGTCTCATCTGGGACACCATGGTGGGGACTGCATGGATTCCATTAAAAAGTATCCGACAATCAGAGGAGGTCAGAACTTACACCCACACAAAAGTCAAGTACAAGTGAATTTTAGTTCAAACGTTTGAGGTGGAAAAAAGCCACTTGAAATCCATCCATTAGAAGTAACAAGATACAGCATTTAACTTCATCAATCAATAGATGTTAAATTAGTAAAATTAACAAAAGACAAAACAAAAGTTTGTACCTTTACATAAATATTGCTCAGTCTTTCTGCATTTTTCCCTAGAAAGAGATATGTAAGTAATTCCAGTTGGCACATCAAAGATGTGAAATGATGATCTCATAAAAGGGACGCTTTGAATTTTTAGTCGTACTAAAAATTCAAATGCTACAATAAGTAAATGCAGACACCTGTGTGTTGGCTATATTCTGTTCATAAATACTGGATTCCTAAACCTAAGGTAAAGTAATATAGAAATTTCAAGTATAAAGGCAGTTTCAAATAAAATAAACATTTGAAAATGATGAATATGTTAAATATGTTACACAATGATTACAGTTACAGGATGATTGGAAATCAAAAAGTTAAAAATATATTTTTTTACATACAAAAAAGTAGTTTACACAAAAATGTTTCTTGTTTGACCCACATAATACTAAGAAAATGAACTTTGAATTTTTCACTAGATTGAACATACTTCATTATAAATGCTGCTTGGCTTCACTATTTGAGCTACAAATAGTAAAAACGCAGGCAATAAAACTGCCTTAAATACATATTAAAAGAATGAGTGGCATAGCATAAACTGAAGAATACATGCAAAGGCATTGTCTGTGTAAATAAATGAATGTGTTTAATTTCATTTCAGGAGGGCTCAGGTGAATGGCTTTTCCTGGATGCAGAGGTCCTGATGAAAGCTGATGAGATATATGGCACGAAGAATCCGACGCCTCATCGAGTCCTGTTGGATACTCGTTTCGAACTGCCTTTTGGTGAGATTAAAGCTGAAACCATTTTAGCTGCACAATAGACTTCCAGAGTCTAAGACATACAGTTGTTCAGTTGATTGAACCACACTTGTAAATACCGTTAAAGCTCTTATGTAAGATGTTTTGTAATAGATACATTAGTGATTCTGGTTGCCTTAAGGTGAATCAAACCTTGATCTGGAGAGTTACTCAAAGGTCACAAATGTTTCCTGCTGAAATGTCAGGAACCAAAAAAAAAAGTGTCGAGCCTGGAGCAGTGTGTAACATCATAGCCTGGTATCCACTGGTCTTGTGCAGACATACGGTACCTAGTAGTAATTTCTTTTGAACAGAAAATCTAATGGCTAAACAGTTGAGTCCACAATTGTTGAACGAAGATTCATAATTTTTGCATAGTTTTGCACCACTACAGTGGATTTTAAATCAAATAATCATTGAATTTAAGACTTTCAACATTAACTCAATGATATTTACAAAAAAAAAAATATGAACTGTTTAGGAATCACATTAATTTTTAAATAAAGTCCCCTATTTTCAGAACAACCTGGTTTACACAAGATAAATATAAGGTCACATCATAACATTCTCCCTTTGTGCGGAGCCAAGCAGGATTTTATGGCTAGAAGCAGTCCAGATATTTGTCTTAGATATTTGCCTGACGGTGTAACATCCCGTATCTGGTGCCTTTGAGAATGAGACGCCTGTGTCTGTCCTGCATAAGCTGAGGTCACTAATTCAACAATAGCAGACCTTCCTTTATTAATTTAGGTTCCGTAAATATAATTTTGTCTTTGCCAGGTTGTCCTGTTGTGGTCAACAGGATTTAGGAACCATTAGAAATATCCAAAAGCATTTCTAACATGAGAAAGAGGAATATATGACTCTGAGTTTGGGTCCATTTGCCACTTAATCAGTGTTTTCTAGAATGATCCATGTCAGAATATAAATACAGATTTCATTAAAGGTGCATTTATTTATTTGGCTACATAGGGGCAGAAAATCTGGTAGAGTGGTAGATCACAGACTGTGTGTAAAAACATAGACAGCCACTATAATTCCAGCTACTGATTTCTGGACTAGCCAGAGGTTGACAAGAGTGTTAAGTTCTTAGAATCGGTTGATGCTGATAATGTTGGAATTTCCCTTACCTTTATTTGCTCTCAAAGGTACCAACACAACAAGGTCCACATCAGTTTACACACATACTGGATTAAAAATCAGTGGCACCAGGTCTTATGTCTTAAGAAATGTAGAAAATTTGGTTCGAATCACTGTCAGTATGTTTAAAAAACCGATTTCCCGATTCAAATCGATTTTAGTTTGAATAATGTTGCTGTTTTGCTTCCACCACAATAAGATCACACTTCCTGCACAGCTCTTTCTCTCTCTCTCTCTCAGTGTACTTCAAGAACAGTTTCCCATGTCAAATCTGTGTTTTAGATCTCTGCATTATTCGCTTGCTTAGTACGCACCAGTCTACCGTTGTGTTCAGCACTGTCGCCATCACTGCTTTTCTTTTTCTTTTCTTTTTTTCCAAAAATGACCTCTGACAAGAAAGCCTCATTTCTGCTGTTCAATATCAAAGAAATTTAAACCTTTACAAATTATGCCAAATTGCAAAACGCTTAGCTGTGTCTCTAATAAAAACCTTTGTAACTTCGCTCTGCTTCACCTCAGCAGCATCAGGTCATGTTCATATGTTGATTTATGGTTTTCTTCAGTTTTTGATCTACTGTAGAATATTTTTAAGGTGGTTATCTGCTATAAAAAGCCAGGCCAGGAAAATCTCCTTCACGTTTTTCTGCATTTTATCCTCAGTTACTTTGACACAAAGGAATCTCCTGTGATGATTAAACCTCTAATGAAGTCTCACAAGTTTCAGCTTTGTTTTTATACATAGATGTAAATTATGGATATGTACTGATAATTGATCAGAATTATAATACTTCCAATTGTCTGAGTCAAAATCGAATCGAATTGGGACTTTGTGAATCGTAACTTAATCGATTATAAAAATCAAAATCGATACCCCGCCCTAGTCAGTATGTCCAGGGGATATCAGGAAAGAGCTGGAACAGTGAGTGTCTGCAGCCATCTATAAAACATGGTGGAGGATCTGTAATTTTTGAAGCTACATCTCAGGCAGTGATATTGGAGATCTGTTGTAAAGTGATGAAATTTTACATTCAGAAAAGGGTGATCAGATATTGATTCACTGTATAATAACATCTGGAAAGAATCTAATTGGTAGTGGCTTTGTTTTATAGCATTAAAATGATCCCAAACACACTGGCAGGGCAGTTAAAGCATAGCTGGGTTAAAAAAAAAAAAAAAAGAAAAGAAGTACACACTATAGAATGCTAGTCAGGGATCAACATTATTGAAGAGGTATGGGATCAAAGAACTGTCCAAAAAGCTACCATCATCCAAAGAAGAGCTTTAGATGTCCTTCAGGATGTCTGGGGAACAATTCCTGAACGCTACTTAAAGAAAGTACAAGAAAGATTGCCTAAGAAAGTCCAGGCTGTGTAAAAGGATAAAGGTAGTCAAGACAATATTGACTTTTAAGCTCATTACATTTAGAAACTGTTTCTGTCTTGTATACTGTATTTCATTTATGTTTCCACATATTTCAATAAATGGTTGCACCTTTATATAATTTTTCTCAGCAAAATGAGGAAATGAGGTTTGACTCAAGACTACAATACTGTAGATGAAATATGAACTGTAGTTCAGCTTGGTGTTTGCGGTCATCTATAAATAAAGACTAAATATCCTGACATTTGGTGCTTGCTAGGAATCAAAAACAGCTGAATTTACCTGATATTGGCAAGTTTTTCAATATTAAAGTTTGATTCACATTTAAAAGTATTAGTTAATTAGTTATTGTATGGTGAAGTGTCCTTTGTGCTCCCACCACCTTTTTGTACTTGACCACTACACTGTTTTAGTACTACACTGCATGTAATGCTTAAGCCTTGTGATCAAAAGGCGTCAGAGTTGAAGCAGAGTGTCCACTGTGTGGGAGAGAGCCTCTTCCTCTGTATTAAGAGGAGCCCTTTTAAGGTTGCAGGAGCCCATCATGACTCTGCGCTTCCAAAGCCATTCATTAAAGCCGTGGGTTTGTGGTGTCTTTGAAGCCCTAGCCTTTGTGTTGTGTGTGGCCTTTAATGTGCATCTGTCTACAGTGCAGTGCAGATCCCCCTTTCAAGTACGACTAGTCTACCAGACATCATATCAAACAGTAAATGTAGAGTAATTATTTTGTATTTTTCACTTAAAAGTTATCTTTTGATTTTTTGTGTATTTGAAATTTAATGTTGTATTATAATTTTTCAGGAAACCTGTAACTTGCCACACTGTACACTTGACATTTATTTTGTATGTTTCTGCTAACTTACTATTTTCTTCATTTCCAAACAGCTCATAAAAAATTGAACAGACATAAAATGTATTATGACAGCATACTGGGAAATGAAGCTTGAAGTTTATAGTTGCTGCATGCATATTTTTGTACCAGATATCCCGGATGATGAGGCACAGTATTGGACTGGCAAACTGGAGCGCATCAACAGAATGGGAATCCATGATGAGGTAAAATACAGTTTTTACCAGAAAGTTTTAATATAAAATGAAGTTTATTATTCCAGTCAATAAAGAATGCTATTATATGCACATTTTACACTCTCTGTCCTCTCTAGTACTCTCTTCAGGAAGATGTTCAGAGTCACCCATTGCCATTTGCGGCTTCCCAGTGCTGTGAGTACCTGAATGTGTTGTACTTTTAACCTCTAGATGGAGCCAGTTTTCTATCTTTCTGGATCTCAGACTCATTCGTCTTGTTACTTCTATTTTATTCTTTTTCTTTTAAATCTCTTGTGACAATTTATGTGTTTGTTTGCCACTTATGGGGCTCCCTCATTGTCCAATTATTACAACACAGGAGCACTTAAGTCTTCTTTGTTTACACAATCCCCGACTCCTCTGACTTGCCTCTCACTTGTTACATCTGCACTTTTACCAGGCAACTATTTCGGATGGGCTGATTCACTGAGTATGTAACACACTTTGATGAAATTCTCCCCCTTGGCCAATCCTCATTCCCCTTCTGCATGTCATAAAGCCCCATGTGCCCCTTGTAACACGTAAACCATAAGGTTCCCATTCAATTAATTCACATTACTTAATTTTTTTTCTTTCCTCGCTGCATTCATTGATTACCTTTTGACATTTTCTCCCATTGCTGTTTTCTTGTTTTCTACAATATGCCCTGTTCTGATGTTAGAATGTTTTTTTACAACACATATATCATTTATTATTATATTGTGTACATTCCAGAAAAGATCCAGAAAAGTAATCTTCTGATACATAACAAACATTGCTAGAAGTCTGACTAACAATGGAAGCCCCTATTACGTGTTTAATGTAGGGAATTGCAGTTCCTTCACAGAGATGACAGGTGGCAGTCTTTGCTAAATATTTATGAATCACTTCTTATGGCTTTATCACTTGAAACGACAAACCCCAGCCTAGCTATCTCCCTAGCCAATACTTGCCTTATGGTTAGCTTTTAGAAGACGTTGCCTTTGAACTGGTAAGGTCAGTTTCAAGAAGTGGTGTATTTTGGTGCTTTCCTATATGAAGTTATACAAATTATTATGAAGCTGTGTGGGGTGAACACCTACAAACTGTCTTCTTCTCGGTAATTCAACACAAGGTTGCCCCTTTGTAAAATGATTATTTTATGTTTTTGTGTATAAATATAGAGGCTTAACTGGGCTAACAAGAAATAAAGTTCACAATCTTTACTTTTCTTATAGAAAATTATTCTGTAGATGAATCTATGGGATCATACAGCTAGAGAGGTGAAGAACAGCTCTTTGCCTTACATTTAGCACAAGTGCTTGCGTGTACAGCACTTTATTTTCTTAGTGGGGCAACAAACAGTGCAAGCAGTGATGTAATGGTTTGATATATTCATGACTATGAATTTCCCAGGCTACATGTGCACAGGTGGGAGTTTTGTTTAAGTAAAGCCACATGAGGCAAATTGTTTTGTTAGAAACTTTGTCTTGTGTTGCACTGTAACCCTGTTAGTGATGACCAATTATTTTACTATGTTATAAACAAAACTCAGCATCACAAAAAAAATAATATTTTTGCTATAAGAGCAAGGGGAAGTCCGTATTTACCTGGAAATAATAAGAGCGATCCTGACGAAATCTGTTTTTGTCCTGCATGGAAATCTTTTCATTCAGAAGATTCTCTTGCCTTCTTAATTGAGAATGACTGTACCAGAGTGCAGTGCCATTCTGTGGGTCTCTCCACTCTTTTTACTTCGAATAAATCACTTTCAAATAACCCCAGGGTTGTACACAATTAGCTCTTATAATTCTACAAACCTATTGCTAGTCAGTTAGTCAGCTTTATTTTTTATTTTTCTGCTAGGATCCAGGATTACAGAATACTCTCTTCTTTCTTGTTTAGTAAAAGTTGCATCTTATATTTTGTTCTTGAAATACTTACATCAATTGCACAATTTTTTTATGACATTTTATGATGTGAAATCTATTAAAACATAATCAGAATAATTCTGTCATATCAGGGCCAGTAACATTTATTAAAATAACCGCACAAAGTTTTCTTGGCTGCAGATTTGTGTAGCTCTGTGTCCATTTGTTGCTTTCCTGTCCTACTCAGGCATCATTATAATGGTTAAGAGTGTGTCTAGAAACTGCCATATTTTGCAATTTGTATTCAACATTTTGCTTTTTTTGCAGAAGACCTGTACTGCTTTGCACTTGACCCATAGCTTTTAGAAAATTTTAAATGTTTGCATTTTTAACTTTTCCCCTAGCATCAGGTAACTGTGGTTTGTTTATTTTTTCAGCTTTTTGCATTTTTATATTTAATAAAAATTCAAACAAGAATACATACACTTCTTTTACATAAATAATCAGCAAGGTTTGATAGAAAAATGAAGCCATCTAACTAAACAATTTTACAATCTGTCAGGATGGGGTGTTTAGAGCTTGTCTTTTTACCTGCTGCAGCCTTGGATGACCAGGACAGTGCTGTAGATGACCGGGATAGCGATTACCGCAGTGAGACCAGTAACAGTTTGCCTCCACGTTACCACACAACTGCTCAGCCCAACTCATCTATGCACCAGTACCCGATGGGGCCTCGGCCACAGCATCGCCCGGATGGCTGCACAGACTCTGCCCACAGTTTCGACCTGGACTACAGGGACCCAAGAGGAAGCAGGTAGACCGGGTCGCCCAGGGATACCTTCACTCACTCATGCACTCCTGAACAGACACTCTTTATCCTTACACATACTGGCAGTGTAGCCTGATGGTTCTTGCTTCCGCTGCAGCAGTTAGTTTTGATGGGTTGCTTTATTGTGTACTGCTGTCGTATAATGCAAAGTAATATAATCACGGCGGTAATGGCTGTATTTGCCTTTTGTTTTTGTTTTTTTTCTCCCTCTCACTTTTTACACAAATAGTGCAAAACTTAAGAAGTGCTTTTCAATAATGTAACTGAAAATGAGTTGTCTATTCATTATGACCTCAAAAATAACCAGAGTTAAATCAACATCAATGAAATTATAAAGGTAAATCATGCAAATGTAATTGGTATCATAATGACATTACTTGTGCCGCCGTTAATTAGGGTTTAAAACCTAGTCAGAAGTGTTTACTTTAGATAAGATTGTTTCACAGAGAATTGGTAATTACCTCTTAATTAATTTTGTCATGAATAGTTTACCTGATCAAAAGCCCATGTTTTTGTCTTCCGTACATCAGGAAGAATATCAGGATTATTTGTTTACTGTTGGCCAAATGGCCAAAATAAAGTGTTTATATGATGATTGTTACTAACATACAAAAATAATATATTCTTTTTTGTTGTTATTATGGTCACTACAACGCCAGTAAAATGCTGTCAGGAAGTATTTGGTCCAGAAAACAAATATTCTTGGTTCATGGACTTTAATCTTGTGTGCTTGCCGTAGCATGCATGCGCACCAGTGAGACTGCTACAAATCTGCCTGTGTTGACTGATAGGGAGTTGATCCGGATAATTCTACATCAGAAAAAAAATGTGATTACAGTCACAGAAAAAAAAAAAAACCTTCATTGTTCATGTTTATTTTTGTCTTGAGGGTGTGTTGGGTTGTTTAAAGTTTCTGTTAGTTTGAAATGCTCTGGGTATATCACAAAGAGGAAATCCCTCTTTCACACCTCTGGAGGAAATAGGTCAGTGACAGACACATGCCTTTCAGTTGTAACATAAAAACCTCTACCATGAATGCCATATGGTGGTGATTTTGCGGACATTTCCTGTTAAGACTTTTACAGACAGACTGTGGAAGTGCTGATAAGCGTATTTGTTGCAGTGGGGATTTACAACAATCTAAATTCAGTGAGGCACGTGCAAACATGGAGCTATATGCACACAATCTCACACTTGCAAACAAAGAGTTTTATTACCCCTGTCAAATTTATGAAATGTGTAACATGTTATGTTCTAGTCTTTTGGTATGCCTTCTGGGCAGTTTAGTTAAGATCATCAAAAACTGCAAAAAATGTTTATTAAAGAATGCAATGTTACATATTGCTTACCATATATATTATAGATCAGGTCATCATTACAAAAAGATTTATTTAGATTTGTTTCTGTCATAATTTACTGTGTGGCTTAACTTGCGTTTCTGTTTGCATTTTTTCTTTTTGTATGCCTCTTTTCCATCCCTTTATCCATTCCCACACCCTCATTAAATTAATTTTTTTACATAAAAAAAAAAGAAGAAGCTCTTTAAACCAGAAAGGAAGAGTCAGAATTATACCTGTAGATTCTGGCATGGGGGTTGAAGATTGGGAAAACAAATACAAGGGGCAAAGCAAGCCACAGCTAAGTGACTTTATAGATGATGAAGACAGCGTTATCTTTCGCATGGGAAGACCCTACTCCGAGCTATCACGTTCACCTATCCATCAGAATACAAAGCATAGTGGTGGTCTGCCTGCCACCTATCCTGAGGGTTATGATACTATTGATCGTCGGCGAAAGAAAAAGATTACAGACCCAGGAGGGTTTCTCAGTCCAGAAGCAGACAAAATGAGAAAAGAGACCTTTCCCGCTGACCTTGCACTCCTCCGTGAGAAAAGAGGGGAGCTTTTCATGCGACAGGTAGCAGAGATGCAGGAAGAGGAGGAGCGTATGACATCAGATCTAAGACCATATCAGAATGGGCTTCTCTACAAAACAAGGATGTGGGCTAAAAATGAGCTGGACAGCACTTTGGAGAATTATGTGGCATACAAAAAAGGGCAAGATGCTAGAAGGAAGGCACAGTTTGATTTTGAAATGGAGAGCCCTCTGCACCACCCTATAGGAGCAGAGGACAGTGTTAATGACATTGCCTTTATGGCTGATGAGTGTCGCTCAGAGAACAAAGGACATTATAAAGATAGGCATTCTTTCTCCTATGAGGACCACATAGAACATTCACAGAGCCTTTGGGAGAAGTATGGGAAACCTAAATCAGGAGGATGGGTTTCAGAGGCAATGCTCTCTCCTGTAGAAGAGCCAAGTGATGAATATGTTGATCCTATGGATGAGCTTCAATGTCTTGTTGAAACAGTGTCTGAATACCTGGCTGAAAAAGAAGAGGAAATTAGCAAATATGGATCCCTGCCTAAATCAAGCAAGTCTAGGCTGTCCTCCTATGGTAGCAATAGAACTGATTCATTTGGGGAGGAGCAAAGTAATTCAAAGGATTTAAGAGAAGAATCCCAATCACATGCTGCTTCTGATCAGGGCATTTCAGGAGTAAAAAATGCCATGAGCTCATTGTTTACTTCTCTCACTGACAAAGTTGGTGGAGGCCCTAAACAGCCTGCCCTATCTCCACAAGTATCATCTGCACAATCCTCACAATCTGGACTAACAAAATTGTTGTCCTTCATTCCTAAGTCAAATAACACAGCTCCCGTAGCTATTGTCTCTCCAGTAGAAAGTTCTCCTGAAAAGTCATTCAATTCTTTGCCTTCTCACCCACCACATGATGCCAAAATACACAGTCATCATCAAGAAACACAAACTCCCAGCAGGTGTCAGACTCAGACTCAAACAAGTGCAAAAGACCATGTACCCAAGCTTGTAACCAAACCTCAAAGTGCTCCAGAAAACTCAGTCTTGGGTAGATTAAATCCTTTGAAGCTTTTTTCAGCTGATAATGTGAATTTGGCTGAATGCAAACAGGCGTTGGAATCCACATGTTCTCAGAGTCATACACAATTGGAAGAGAGATGGCTTGATAACAGAGGTAGTGAATCAGAAAAATTAAGAAGACTTTCACATGAAAAATATTCAGGACAAAATTATGATAGAAACTTATATGAGACACAAATTCAGTCAATTTTGAATAAAGGGAGTATTCCTGTTCCAGAGCCAGAAAGGTCAACTGGGCCAACACATTCTGTAAACACCAGTTTCTTTAGCCCTTTTAAGAAGTCATTAAGTTCACTGATCACACCTGCTGCCCCTGTTCCCCCCCACGGAGCTCCACCTGTGGCAGTTTATCCAGTGTTTAGAACCACAGAGAGCCCCCAACTAGAGGAACCAGTTGAAGACCCAGCATTGACTAGTAAGCCTAAAGTACCTTTCTCTTCATCTGAAAACGTTTCCACTCAGCCATGTCCCAAAGCAGAAGGTGGTGTGCTTTCTGGTTTTTTAAAGTTTGCATCCAGTGAAGACATCAGTGCCTCCATAAAAACACAGAATCCTCAGCATGATCTGACTTCAACAACTTCGACCACCTTGACCAAGAATCCTCCTGTGCACCAGGAAAATAGTGAGAAAGGGTGGTTTTCCAGCATATTCAACCCTACCCCAGCACCCTCTGGTCTAGACCAGAATGTAATCTGTAATCAGCAACCTCAGAACAGTAAACTGTCATCTGTCTCACAAGCCCAACATACATCAAATCAGAAATCTGGAATGCAGCAGCAGACTGTCAATCAACCAAAACAAGGTGGACTGCTATCTGGAATTCTTACATTTGGCTCTAGTAGTGACTTATCTGGCCATTTATCACAGCATGCTAACAATCAGCCATTCAACAGAAATAATCCCACACAATTTTCCCAACACACGGCCCCAGAACAAACCTCTTCAACTCCACAGATGGGGGGCCTTCTCTCAGGTTTATTGAACATTTCATCTACCAAAAACCTGCAACAAAAGGGACAATCTCGTGATAGTGAAGCACAAAGGAACATTCCCGGCAATTACTTTGGTCAGCAGCAGACTTCACACAGAACTCAGCAAACACACACTGCAGAAAAGGGACTGCTATCTGGCTTGCTCAAATTTGAATCCTCTGAGAATATTTCAAGGAGTCAAACAGTTCACCACCAAAGCAGTCAACAAGGTCCAAGCCAACTGAGTACTCAAGGTCCAAGCCAAGGTCATCCTATTAAAAACATTCCTCAGAATCACCAAGGTGTCCGATACGAGACAAATAAACCAGGATTTGCTCGACAGCAGACTGTTCCACTTCAGCAAGCACCATCCCAACAAGGTGGTTTTCTATCTGGACTTTTCAAATTTGCTTCAGCAGACAACATAAACACACAAAGTCAACCATCAGCTCATCAGCATGGAATGACACTAAGCAAATCCAATAATGAGCCAATAAAGACAACAAATATCCAAGTTTCTAGTCAAGATCAGCCAAAAAATAGCACAACGCAAAAAACAACACATGCAAGTAGTCTGTTTTCTGGACTTTTTAAATCCCCTTCAGAAAACACAGCTCAACAGTTGCAGCCCAAAAACACCTATGAAACACAACAGCAAAACAAAATACCACATAACCAGACTGATCCAACACAGATAGAGACAGCGGGTCAATCAGGAGTGCTCTCAGGGTTTTTAAACAAGTTTACAAAATCAAATGAAAGTATTCACACAACCTGTCAAACATCAACAGAACAACCACCTCAAGAAAGGGCCAATAATTATACAGTTACAATGAAAAGCCCACTGCAAAAACAGCCACACAATAATATGACACAACAACAATCAAAAGAAAAGGCAGAAAAAGAGAAAAGAACAAGTCAGATAAGTGGACAACAGACTACTTCAGCCAAGTTCATAGAGTCTTATTCTGACATATTAACAAATGCTAACGTAAACCTTGGAAGGGATGGTTTACAAAAAGACAATCCAGATTCTCTCAATCCAGGAAAGAGTAGACATGCTTTAATCAGTGCACCTGTGTCAGTCGATACTGAGAGTTTGGATTTGCGTACATCAGCTACTTTTGCAAGATCTCTTCAGAGCTGCACGACATACTCCTCAGTGAGCACTGGTAATTTGCCTCAGTTATATAATTCTGGTTCATTTAGGTCAACTAACCCAATGGCCTATAGTGCAGGAAATATCCATTCCCTTTTACAAAGTCGTGCAACTTCACCAGTCATGACCATGCATCCATATATTGGTGGAAGCTCTCCATCTTTATACAGTGCTACAAGTCAAAACCTTTATCAGTTATCTGCATATGCAGTAAGTCCCTCTTATGATGAAAACCAGTGGATCCGTGAAAGTGCTCTGTGGCAGCAGTTTCAGGATGAGTCACTAGGTTATCATTTCCCAGTAGAGAATCAAGGATATAGGCTGAGTTCTGAAAGTACACCATTACCAGTACCTGAGAATCAGAACACTGTGCAATGGCAAGGTGTTGTTTATCACCAAGAAAAATATAAACCACATCAGTGTGAAGGATATAGAAATGATGATCTATATCCAAAGAGAAAATTATGGAATAGTTATGAAGACTTGGGAAATATAGAACATTTACCCAATGAGGAAGGTGTGTTGAACTTAACTACTAAACAGAGTAATGCCAAGTTTGGGAAATGGCATTCATTTAATGATGGTAGCACTTATAGCTTGAATGGTGTTTCATATCATGAAGGGTATTATGAAGAAACTGCTCCAAGCTTATCTTATTCAGCTAACTGGCAATATGGAATGGATAATCCAGACTCACAGCATGTTCACACCAATGGCATGATCCATCACAGTCAGCTTAATTTGAATAAACCAGTAGATCCTCCAAGTGCAAATATAGACCTCGAAGACTCCCTGTACCTTGAAGACACTGAATGGTATCAACAGTGGCTGGCACTTTTGGAGCAAGGAATGTGGTGGCCAGCAGAAGACGGTGACTGTGGCTACTTTGTTTACACAGATCATGAGTATATTTATGCTTTACTTACAGATGCAGTAGGAGAATATGTGTATGCATGTGCCCCTGAAGGTGAATCTTGGGGAAATGCACAGCAGTTAGAAAGTTTTCCAAGTGCTTGGCTGAAGAATGAGATGGTTTTAGTCTGTGGCTTTAAAATTCCACTTTACAATGAAGATGAGCTTCTTTGGCTTCCAGGTCAAGATCACAGAGATTCTCAACTTCTAAATGCCCCCCTAGATTTGTCTGCTGCCTACAGAAAAGGAAATGAGATTATGAATTTAAATCTTGAACAATTCTCTCAAATGTTTGAGAATTCATTTCTGTCTCAAGGGCAGCCTGGTGTGGATTTCTCATCCTATACATTAAACAAAGTTAAGATGGATCCAAGACAGCCTAGTTATGTATATCAAGATTATTGTAATGACATCATTGACCTTTCATGTCATAATAGAGATCATATTGGCCCATATTGGAATAACCAGGAAGTAAAGACATTTCTTGCTCAAAAAGTTTCGGTCTCCCTGAATTCTACTCCTACAGCAAATTCTAATCAACACTTACTTTACAACTGTTACCAACCTAGCCAACGGCGGCGTTCATCAACTGCTGTTACAATAAAACATGTGGATGATGTATCAGAGGAAGAATGGAGGAAAAGAGTGTCTCCAGGAGAACAGCAACCTAATCGTCAGGTTAAGAAGATTTCTTCCCTAATAACCTCTTTTGTCAGCAAAACATCACAGGTTGAATTGAACAGTTCTAATAAGTCCACATGTGAGCAAGCCACTGACAAACAATCTAAAAGCATCCTTTCATCAGGATTTCAGAGTCTGAAGTCTAAGATAATCAGAGAAGAATCTACTGCCGTTGTAACTCAGACAGAAAGCTTTAAACAACAAATTGAAACGCCAGTTACCAAACAGGGTAGAATTTTGCCCACAGTACCAACAGCACCTCAAGTGACTCACCCTGCAACACACTCAACAAATTCGCATGCAACTCAGAAACCTAAACTTTCGCGGCAGACTACCATGGTACAACAAGTGACTCCACCAACAAACCTCAATGTGACAGTGCCTTTAGGATCAAAAGAATATCTTAGTAAACCTGCACCAACTGGACAACCTACATCGGATAAACCGATGGACATACCAGTGGGAAAACCATCTGAACAACCACAGGCAGGGTTGATGAACTTCCTAAAATCTGCAGTAGGAATGGAGGAAACCAAACCAGTTCTCAATAAATTTACTGACACATCTCCAAATCAACAGAGCAAAACTGGCAGCACAAGCTCCTTACCAGGAAGTGCCACTACAAATAAAGAGGCTACAGGAGTTTCAAATCTTTTGGGGTCAATCAGTAATCTGTTTAGCACTGAGCCCTCTCAACCACAAAAACAGCAAATCAAACCTAGTGTTACAGAGGATTCACTAACATCAGCATCTCGATCTAAAGGTATTCAGAGACAGCAAACGTTAGACCAAAGTGGCTCATCTAGGCCCATGCAGAGCCTAATCCCAGATAAAAATATATTGGAAATGTCTACTCAGAGTATCCCTACAGGCTCTGCAGCCAGCCACTCACAATCTGTGCCGCCTGTTGCACAAACAACGCAGGAAACTGAAAGTAAACCATCTGGTGTACTGTTTGGATTTTCAGTTGGAGAAATATTTGGGGGATCAGCAGCATCTAACCAGTCTGGTCCTACTGGTCAACAGGAAGAATCACTTGGTAAAACTATATTTTCAATGTTTACAGGGCCAAATACCCAGCAGACTACAGATAAATCTGGGACATTGTCTCAAACACACCCATCAAGCACACCTTCACAGCCTTCTCAACAGGAAACACTTGGTAAAAGTTTATTATCAAAGTTGTCAGCATCAACTCCTCATGCACCTCCTAACGAAACCAGGCCCAACACTGAGGCGCCACAGGGGGGAACTATCCCTCCAAAGGATCCTCCATCTACAGGGTTCCTTTCAATGTTCGGCAGTCACAGCACCCAACAATCTCAAAATCAAACTGGATCTTTTCTAGGGGGAATTCTTCCTGGATCATCAAGTTCAGCTGAAAGCCCAATGAAGGGGCTGTTGTCAATGTTTAGTGATCCCAACCCGCCACAAACACAGTCATCAACAAGACCATTTCAAGAACGAGTAGTCCAGTCACAAACTCAACAACAAGGGGGACCACAGGCACAGTCTAAACCACAAGAACAGCCTCTACCACAAGGACAAACAGCTACCTCTGTTCTTGGGGGTATATTCGGTGGATTGTCTGCCTCTACTGAAAATCCAAGAAAAACATTGTTTTCCGTGTTTAGTGGTCCTAGTTCCCCTCAACCACCAAGAACTGGAGGGGATACAAACATGCCCTACACACCAGGGACTGCAGTCCCAAAAGAACCAACCAAGAGTATGTGTTCTGTTTTTAACGATGTTTTGCCAACACCACAACAGACTCCCAGTTCATCTGCTGCCACCTCTGCCAAAGAGTCCCCAGCTATTCATTCACAACAAAGTTCTTCCCAGATGGCATCTATTTCAAGTGACCATGTCCTCAAAGATGCCCCTTCTAGTGAATTCTCAGGGAACAAATCTGATAGTAACTCCTGTCAAGTGCATGCTGTCCCATCTAGTGATATTACAGTAGTTACCACAAATACTTGTGATGACTCATTTGAAGCCAGTGATGTTATGTCTAAGCACTCAAATTTAGAATGTGGTGTTGTGCATAAGGAAATGAGCACAGAGAGTGCACCCCAGGATCCTTCTTTTTCTAAAGAACCTTCAGCCTCCGTGATTAGTGGATCAGACCCACATCCTCCATCTTCAACTGGATCTATCTCAGATGAGCCAAGAAAGGGTTTTCTTTCTTTATTTTCTACACCCAGCACTGAGCCAAGTTCTACCAAAACAGATCTGTCAACTACAGGATCTACACCTGGATCATCGGGCCTGAAAGACCAATCAGCCAAGGGGTTATTTTCAGTGTTTGCAAGTTCTGCCCCTCAGCCCTCTTCACAGACTGGAAGTTCTCTGTTAGGGGCAATGTTTGGAGGTTCTTCACCTCAAACACCATCATCTCAAGTAGGAGGATCATTGCTAGGTGGGTTATTTGGAGGGTCTGTACCGCAGACTGCTCCACAAGCTAGTCTCAACAAGACTGGTGGTTCTGTTCCCCAAACTACAGGATCACAGCCAGGGTCATCATTACTTGGAGGCTTATTTGGAGGATCTGCTTCCCAGGCTGCTGGATCCCAGTCTGCTGGGTCTATTTTGGGTGGTATATTCGGTGGTTCAACAGTTTCATCTCTTGTGCAAACTAGTGGGTCCACAAGTGGAAGTTTTGGTGGGGCTGATCAGACTTCCGCAACTCAAAATAAAAACTCTATATTCGGAGGGATTTTGGGCAGTTCACCATCTCCAACAGCTGGTGTACAGACAGGTACATCTCTTCTAGGTAGTATTTTAACTGGCGCTTCTGGTCCAAATGACACAAGTTTGTTTTCAGTGTTTGGAGGATCTACTTCAGATGCAACAACTACTCCAACATCTAATAATGACAAAATATCAACTACCACTCTCAACAGCACTACATCAACTGTAACTGATCAACAAAAAGCCATTGACAGTAAAACTGTTTCAACTGGTGGTGATAAAAGTGAAATTAATACTTTGATCAAAAGCAACGATCAAGTGGAAATCCCAAATACACTTGAGAATAAAGTTCAGCCTCTTGCTGCAAGCTTGTCTAAAGGTGAGGATAGTCTCATAGAAGAAGTAAGTTGCCAAGATACTGATAAGCAAACTGCTTTATCTGAAAAAAATCAGTCTAAAGAGTTTGAAATGTGTGCATCAACAGAACAAATTGTAAATTCAGAGATTGCAAGTAGTAGTCAGTTGAGTCAAGATACAAAAACATCTAATGCAGAAGAGGAAATGCAATTCCCTCAGTCTGTAAGTTCTTTGGCCCAAGAACAGCAGAAACCTCCAGTGCCAGACAAGTCAGATACAGTTACTAGCTTCACGTCCACCCTTTTCAAACCAACACCTACTCCCACTGAAGGTCAGCAACAGCAAAAGCCTTTTGGATTGGGAGGAACAGCACCCCAACCTTCCTCCATTCAGACTGGTGCGTCAATACTAGGGGGTATTTTTGGAGGCCCCAGTGCCCAGGCAGCGTCTCCCCAGACAGGTGGATCATTACTTGGAGGCTTATTTAAAGGGTCCGCTCCTCAGTCTGCTACTCAAGCCACTGCCCCCACCACCGGAGGTTCAATATTAGGTGGGATGTTTGGGGGAGGATCCAGCACCAAATCTGCAGTTCCCCAGAGTGGTGGCTCATTACTGGGTGGAATGTTTGGAGCTTCTGGAGTTACACCTCAGGCTGGTGGTTCTTTGTTTGGAGGAATGTTTGGAGGAGCTACTGGTCAGACTGCAGGATCACAAACTGGAGCATCAACTTTACTTGGTGGCATAGGAGGATCTTTGTTTGGGGCTATGGGACAACCACCTAAGCCATCTGAATCTGTGCCAGCTATACCAAAACCAACAGCCAGTGCAATGGGACAACCACCTAAGCCATCTAAATCTGTGCCAGCGGTACCCAAACCAATCACCAGTGCAAATATAATGATGGGCTCAACATTGCAAGATAAAGATCAAGTGAAGCCTGGCAGCTTAATAAATGACAGTGCTGGGGAAACTGAAACAGCTTGTTTAAAAACTTCTACTGTTTCAAGTGCAGCAAAAGACATTTCTGTCATTCATCAGGTAGTTAACAATGAAAAAGAAAAGCCAGAAGGGGAGGGAGAAGTGATACATGAGAAGCCCATGGTTATTAAAGAGGACCCTGAGAGTAAAGAAAGTGACAAGTCAGTCCCACCTGATGTCACAGAGGCAGATGTTAATGTTACTTCACCTCCTAATCAGTTGCCCAACAATGCAGAGCCTTCTCAAGCTAAGTCTTTGTTTGGGTTTATATCAGCACAGAGCAATGCAGTAAAATCTCTTGGATCCCTGATGTCATCAGCACCATCACTTGCTTCATCATTGTCTCAGACAGAAGGAGGTAGTAGCCTAATTTCAGGGCTGAAAAACCTTTCTGGAGGCGTATTTCAAGAGGAAAAACCTAATACTGAAAAACAAGAGCCATCCACCATTTCATTACTGGGGGAAAATGCAGGTTTTCCTCAGCAGACACAGCCATCCAAATCACAAGCTGTCCCAGTTATAACTTCTCAACTCCAAACTAACAACAGTTCAGCAAGCAATGAGACTGTACAAAAGGTCGAAACAACTGAAGCCGAAAAAACTGTACCGGTAGGTTCCACAGATGATATAGCAACTCCCCAGATTTGCATCTCCACTCCTGATGTAGATCCTTCAGCATCCCTGACCCCAAAAGAGGAGGAAAGGCTTGTAGAAATTCACCCCTCTGCAGGTCCTAACTCTGGAGTGCAGCTGGACAACCAGTCAAATCTTCTGTTGAATACAAAAAGGCTAGTAAAAGTACAATAAATGGCATCCTCCCTCCCTGCCCCCATTTGTGAAGTGGGAATTATGGGAAAAAAAAGTTTTTCCTATTCAGTTTTGCAGTCAATTTTCACTAATTTAGTTATTTTGTGTCTTTGTCTGTGTTGTTCAGTGTGGCCTTTTTGTGTTTAGTATCTGCTGTATCATTTGTCATTTTAAATCCGAATTCCACAACAATGTTGTATTGAGTTTTAACTTTCTGGCTGAATCTACATTGTACTCAAACATTCTTATTACTATATCATTATATTGTTATTATTGTTATACCGTTCTCTCTCTCTCTCTCTCTCTCTCTCTCTCTCTCTCTCTCTCTCTCTCTCTCTCTACATATACACATATATGTGTGTATGTGTTTCAGCAATTGAGTAAAGCATCTTGAGCCAACTGTTGTTGTGAATTGGGCTATATACATTTTATGAATTAAGTTGTTTGCAACATTGTCATGGAATTCTGCTTTAATTTATACACTTTTATTTATTAAATATTTTTTTACGTGTACATCTAGTAATCATCATATTTTACGAATCCATTCAGTCTTTTGTAGTGCAAACTTAAAACTATAAAATATTCAGAAATGATATTTCACCATTCTGAATGTTTTTCTCACTCCTTTCTCACCATTGTAGTCCAGTGGAAAGTAGTCGCTTTGGGTCATCAGGAAATCTTAGCCAGACCAGCTCCCAGCTTAGTGAGACTGGCCACGAGAGCACTGGAGGGTCAGAACTGGAGGAGTCCTTCCACTCCTATCATAGTACTGGTTTTCACCCTTCTACCAATGGGCAGCTACGCACAAATGGCACAAATCTCTCCATCAATGGACACTCTGTGGTCAGTGAGCGGGAGATGGATAGGCTGTCCCCTGACAAAAGACAGGACATAAAAAGTGATACTACAGCAGAGACGGGATCCCCCAAACTCCACAGGTACATTTTTGCTTGTAATTCAAATGTGTTTGATATAATGAAAATGCCTGAGAACTGAGAGATTTCCTCTTTCTCTTCTTTTCATCTAATGCTTCAATCCATGTAACCTAGACCTAGTTTCCATGATGATGATGGACCACCATTACCCTTTTCCCAATCCAGACTTCATTGGATGAAGGCCATCACTAAAGTCAGAGTTCAACTGCGGGAGGTATGCAGTATTTTAACTTCAGTTCCTCCAACAATGTTCAATCTGTTATTAACCCTTAATTCCAACTTTCTTCTTTTCCCAGTCCTTGTACACACAATATTTGCAAGCACGTTCATACATACAATCCTTTGAAACTGGTTGAGTTTAGTCTCTCTGAATGTTCATGCAGATGCACTAAAATGTACTAGAATGATATTACTTCTAGTGAATTGGTGTCCTAATTGCAGGCACACGACTAACAATGTGCTCCTCTGTTAAAACTACCCAGCAAAAGTTTTTATGATCCTCTAATTTTTAAGTAGTCTTCATTTTGTAACTTATATGAGATATCTTTGTCTCCTCTCCATCTTATTAAGTCTTAAATGTGGAATTTACTCTCTTCATGTGGTACTCATAATAAGAAATATAGTGTTGATTTTAGGCAGATTACTCACTGCATGAAAAATCTATATTGCATTAGTAGATGTTTTGCTCACAAAAGTCCTTACTATGTTCTTCTTCCAAGGATATCTGCTATGTTTGACAAATTCAGGGATAAAATCTGAAAATCTCCTGAAAGCGATAACTCAAGAAGGACGTCACCAAAGATTTTCAAATAATTACCAAGTTGCAGCCACTAAAAATCTTTGAACTCAGTGACCTTGAAATCAAGGTCAAGTTCAGATGTCAACTTTTTTGAAAATCAACTAAAATCTTACATTTTTACATCTGTTAGAAGGCTGTGGTGTAGCGGTGGCTACCAGTATTTCTTTTTATGTTGTGTTTCTTTTATGTTTTTTATGTTTGTTTCTTTTACTAAACGGTTGTTGTGTATTTTATCAGAATGTGCGAAAACAGAATATATGCAGTGACACATATCTCCATATACTGTATAGCTTGTAATCAGTATCTTTAGCCCAGTGTTTGTGTTTGTTTGTTTGTTTGTTTTTTACAAATCAAATGACCTTTGTTAAAAAGGCAATTGTGGCATTATGGAATCAACTGTAATGTGACCAAATATAAGTTCAATCTGCATTACCATTTCTGGAGAATTTTAAGTTTAGATGTTAAATTTAATAATTTAAGACCAGTCAGAAAGACTGGACTTTACTGTGTTCATAATGACAATATTGGGATTTGTTAGTCATAACTATAGTTCATCCTCCCTGACTAAAGCTTTAATAGCATGGCAATGAAGGAGCAGGGCATATAGCCCATGCATGCCTTCATTATAATGATGACTTCCATGAAGTGGTTGAGATGAACATGAACTATAAATGAGTGATTGAAGACATGAGTATAAATCAAGGGTGAAAGCTGTCTAAGTGCTAATCATTAAATGATGCAAGGAAATACTTATCACACAAGGCTGCTGGTAAAGATTATAATTAATTAGAATTGGAAAGTTTTCGCGTGGTGTCACAGTGACTAGCATAATGAAAATGCTAGATTTGATACCCTAAAACATACGTGCTTGTTTATTTTCAAAGAAAGGTTTGGAATGAGATTGTAGTAATTTAATCAAACTTGACGACAGCAAGGAATCATGGGAGGCAAATCCATAACCCATACTTGATGAGAATATGCTTTAAAGTTTATACATATTATCCTTTGACTCCACAAATTCTCATTTAGTCACTCAGGGATAGTAGTATTGCCAATGTGTTTAGCTTGAATGTTTTTGAAGTTTTAAAAACAATACATTTTGACAAATGACTCTTTACAGTGACTGTGATCAGCTAAAAGCTGGTAGTCTTACACCCTCAGATTAGGTTTGCACTGGAATACACTCCCAGAGAACAGTGAGAGAGAGAGAGAGAGAGAGAGAGAGAGAGAGAGCTAGTGCAGTGAAAGCATGCAAGAGGGTGGGAGGGATAGCTACTTAACAGAGGGTGAACTGCTGTGTGATCATCTACTTGTGCTGTGCTGGCTATTTCGGTTGTAGAAATCAGGAACTCAGCACTTGTATATTTTTTTTAACTTGAAGGAAGATTTGCTGGTTTGATTGACACTGAACAATGTTCACCAGTACACCTGGGTAAATATTTTTATAAAATACAGGGAATTGCTATTACGAGCTGCTGAGCAACCCTCCATGTGGAATTAATCAATTTTATAAGATGGTATCTACAGGTTGTTCATTCTTTCTGATAAGGTAAGGATTACATTTTATTTAGTATATTTATGTTAAATATATATTTAACATATACTTTGATTAAAAATATAGATTGTACAAGTTACTGTATGGAAGATGTAGTATTGTAGTGCATAGATACGCAACCATGTTTAGCCAATTAAATGTCAAGAAGGCATCTCTTCTTTCAGTATTCTAAAATCTCACTCATTGATGAGAAGCCAGCTAAAAAAGTCAAAAGCAAGATGCCTTTTTTACTTATTCTTTTTCTTTCTATTTAATGAAAGCTGTGGATTATTTAATAAGGAAAGGGGGGGAAAAAGGGAGACCGCTGAAGATTGACTCACTTGGAATATGGCCCGAACCCCTACCTGCCCCTCAGTTATTATGATCAATCAGTCAATCAATCAATTAATTAGTTACACATTGATGCGACTTTGTTTGTTTACACATATTCATCAAGTATGTCTAAAACTAGCATTAGTTGGTATGTTTGTAAATTAAATATGGCTATTAATAATTATTTTATGGAATAAAATAATATTTATAACTGTAATTTTATTGTGAAGCACATCGCTGCCTGTAAATGTAGGATAGGGGGATTCCATTCAGCTGATAAGATCATCAGCTTATTTTCATTCTCAGATTGGTGACTGAAACAGTCAGTTTTGATTGGCTGATTATACATTTCTACCCACTAAACGCTTATCAGGGTAATACACACCTTCTGTGCTAAAGTGCTTATTGGAGACCTCAAGTGCAGGGGTGTGTTAATGTATTTAGCAATTATATTATGCACTCCCTGGATTAGTTTACTTAATAGAATTGGACATTTGCTTTCCTAAAACTTTGCCATGGTATAGTTATGCTATAAAGCAAATTGACTACAAAGGTATTGTAAAATACAGAGAAAGTCCCCAGAAATAAGCTTACTTTAGTCTGAGGCCATCTTAAATGAAAATATTGCAACTCTATAAAATGTTTAATTTTCTTGTAATTTATATTTTAGAAGCTAAGGCCTCCTATGTTTTTTTTTTTTAACCAGATATTTAGTCACAGAGATGGAAGAGATAAGTGTGAATTTTATTACTATTTTATTACTATTTTTAAATATAATATAATTATATTAAAAATATTAATAATATTTTTTTAAAGTAGCATTTACAAATCTCAAAAGAATTATATAGTGCACTATTTGTAGAGCTAAGAAATCCTACCGTGTCCAATTAAAACTCCTTAATTTGAGTTACAAGCAGTATTAAAGCAGGGATGATGAACAGAACTTGACCTTGAAACTACTGCAACATCTTCTACATTTTTGAGAATTTGGTAATTGTCTCAGTGAAGAAGACAAAATCACAGAGCTATGGTAAATGCCCTCTGTGAATGAAATAATGCCAGAACCAGATTTATGTTACAGTTGGGGTATTCAGTTGTCATTCAAGTGTGTACCAATGGATCAGAGCTATTAAGCCATGCAGCTGGTAAGGGTGTGTAAGAATGGCATGGCCTCAGAGGAGAGAATTGACCTGTCATCTAATTACTGTGCTGTCTTTCCAAAGCATCCTAATTACAGAGATCTAAGCAGCTGCATGGCGTTCATTCTGGAAGTTGACACTCTGACTGACTCTCAGTTAAAACAATGTCTATCCAGCATTTGTATTGTGGAGAGTAGTGTAGTGTCTCATAGAGGTATTCCATGTGTGCTCAAATGCATTCAGCCATCCCATATGGAAAAGATATATATAAATCTTATAAAGTTTGTATCTGTCTTGCGTGAAACTTGTATGAAAAGCATACAAGAGTGAAAACACATATAAGATCCCTTGAAAAATTATATAAATGAAAACTTGTATGTTTTGGATACTTACTAAAACAGTATATGAAAGTATTGAGAAAGTGGTCACTTTCATAAGTAAATCATATAAGTTTTTACTATTTCTTTTCCATATGGGATGTCTTTAATCCAGAAGGCAAATGAACTTTCTGCCCAGTGTTTAAGATATTGTGCATAGTCAGAATTAGAACTCCACTGTGGTCTGAGCTAGTGGTCATAAAACAGTAAAGTTTTATGTGTCTGTGTTTTTCACTTGATGGGTTTAATAAAAATGGGAAAGATAAATTACTTTCTCATTAAGGGAATTATAAAAAAAGAGTTTACATTTAAAATCACTACTTTTAAAATGCATACATTTGCATACTTTATCATTACCTTTCCTGTACTAGTTTTATTTATGTACCTGTGTTTTAGGTAATTGCTGGTAGTAGGGCAAGTTGACAGTTCCAAAGTTCATGTGGTGGTTTTATCATATTTAGCTGCCATCTGATAACAGAGAGCTGGTAGGCATAATAATCACATGGTTTTTTAAAGCTTTTTCAACAAAATAACTTACTTGCAGATACTTACTCATATGCAGGTTAAGATGCTGGCTTATACTTGACCCATCTTAAGGAGGAGTCACAGAGGCAGTGATATCTCCATGTGTAGGAACAGTTGATTACAAGTGCCAATTCTCAGGGATGTTTCCCAGAGGACACGTCAGTGGAGAGGATGAACCCAATGAACTGGAGCCAGTTCCACTCTCACCCAAGAAGAGTGAGCTGCAGAAGAAAAAAACACAGCTCCCCAATGTAGGGCAAAGTCTCTGTAAAAAACTACAGAAGTGTCTACAGGCACCAGAAGATAATTCATTTCATGACCAGATATCAGTCAGCAAAACAATAACCAAAGCTAACCCCACCATATCTGAGAAAGACAGAAATTCTGATTGCCAAGATGGCAGTGAAGTTGTGGAGGCTTCTATCCCCAAGATTCTTGAAAGAATCACAAATGAGGAATGGAGGCAGAAGATGGAGGATGAGGAAGCAGACCATAGTAACGTAGTGGAGCATATCCTGAAGGAGCTGAAAGGAATCAATAAGATCCAAGAGGAAATTTCTGACCTGAGGCAGTATCTAACGTCTGTGCGAGGCTCAGTGGATGAAGTATCTTGTTGTGTCGATGCAGTGCTCAGTGAAATAGGTGAGCTATATTCCGGGGCTTCAGCTGTAACGCATCCTAGCCCTGTTTCTCAAACACGTCACACCAGGCATGGAAGTCTGGATAGGCAGAATGCAATCTCTTCTCCTCACACAGGTGATCCCAATCCTTTGCTGGACTGCAATGATTATGGAAGAGATTCAGGATATGTATCATCACATAGATCCCCCAAACAATGGCATGATCAAGCCACTTGCAGAACAGTCCATCAAAAAGATCAAGAGTACCTGGAGCAGAGTTCAGACATGCGCTTGTCTGATGTCTGTTACCTGGAGCTTCACTGTGACCAAAACTACCAAAGTACTAGCTCATTGTCATCATGTCAGAGCTCCAATTGTCCAGAGGCAGCCTTTCTTCCTGGTGACACGGAGTATAGCAGATGGCCAACTGCTGATATTCAGCACAGTATTAGTAGAGAAGGTGGTTGGAGTGAGGAGGATGTTTCCTCTTGTGCAAACAGTGGAGAAGAGCTTGAGAGCTTTCTAGGAGTTTGGAACAGACGTGCAAGAGAGGACACACAAAGCAGCACACCAGGTCATTCTTCTCACAACAGTTCAGAGCACCTTTCATTGTTGTTTGGAACCCATTATAATTCACCTTCAAGTTCTTCCAGTCAGGTGGACTGGAGGCCTCTGAGACAGGAAGCTGAGGGAGAAAACTTGGAGTGCGACTGTGCTGCAAACTGTCCATTTTCACGTAGTTCTGGATACCACACCACAGATGCCTGTGCGAATGAACTTGAGAGTGGGCCCTCTTGGAGCTTGAGCTGTTCCACTGTGTTGTTGACAGACTGTGATGATGGTTATTTAGAGCCACATTCACCATGTGATTATTGCCCGTCATCTGGGGACACTCTCGATCTCGGTTCTGCTGAGAGTTTGGACAGAGAGTGGACAGATCACAGCATTTCCAGGGAGGATGTAGGAGAAACATTGTCACCAGAGTCACCTGAAATAGATCCTGAAAGCACACCCAGGACTGCTGACGTAGGTTTTGATGCAACAAGTTTTAGCAAGGCTGTACTCACGGTCAGGTCAGCTTTAAAAGGGGCTTTCAAAAAGTTGGAAGGTTTGAATACCGAAGATGAAAAAGATGATAGTGGTACAGAGCCACCGCCATCCTTGGGTAAACAAATTTCTGAACCTGAGGATGAGCATATCACTGTAGATTATACAGAGGGAGAGATTAGCCTTACAGAGAATTATCCTCACTTTGCCACCTCAAAGGAGGACAGTGATCCTTCAGTCTACATGGATTGTCTTGAGATGCACGAGAATCTATCATGCTCCCTTCAAGCATCTCCACATAAAGCAAGCCCCTCTCCTGGAACTCCAACAGAATATCACTCTGTAGAGATTTCACAAGGAAAAGGAGACTATTCAACAGATGAAGAACTGTCCAAGTTTGATATAACGCCTGACCACCAGTATGCAACAAGGCAGGATGAAAGTCCACTGGGTCCAGTTCGTAACCAAGATGAGGTGCGCTTAAGTCCCATAAGGGAAAACCATGTTCTTCATGAAGAAAATCAAGAAAGGCTGACTGATGAAAAGCAAGGCAGGCTAACTGATGCCAGTCACAGAGCACGTATAGAGAATTTCCAACGTATTCTAAGAGAAAAGAGGCAAACTCGTCATAGACTGTCCAAATCTGCACAGGGATCCCATGGTTCTCAAGGCTCCCAAGGGTCCCAAGGATCTCAGTCTCAAGACGAGTTTGTATCAGGTATTTTATTTATTCATTTATTTTTTGCATATATACCACTTGCAAGCCTGGTAATAACAGCAAAAATCAAATCTTTATTTTTGTAGTGAACTAAATGCATTTCCTTTAGTTACAAAATTGTTTGACTTTGCTCATGTACAGCTACTCAACTTGATTTATAATGCTCCTTGTATTTTGTTTTGTTTTTGCAGACTGTTGGAGAGAAGATAATCAGGTTACTTGAAATATATTAGCTCCATGTTCAAGCTACATTATTATGTTTTTGTTCGGTTTGTTTATTTATTAATTTGTGTGCATCCCCCCCACACAGTACTGTTCTTACTTTTCTTATCAACATAAATACTTGTTGTTTCCAAAGCATAATGCTCTAAATACACATTATATATGGTATTGACTGCATAGATGTGTAATTTTTAGTCTGAACGTATTATTGACATTCTAGATGAGACATTTGCCTGATAACTTTAGTTAATCTGTTACAGAATAATTTACCAGGAGCTTGCTGTAACTTTACAATGTTTGTGGTGTTATTTCTTGTGTCATGTTCTGTTTTCGCCTTCATAATATTTTCAAACACTATCAAAATCTATTAGAAAGAACCCCAGAGGAAACTCCACTGTCAACTAAATAAATGAAAAAGGAAAAAGTTATACTTGTAGGAAGAAATAAAAAAAGACCTATGCATGTTTAATCACCCGAACAAAAATTTTGTGGTCGTGCTTTTGTCCTATTTGGAAATAAAATGTATTCTTTAGTTTTGCATCTACATACTGTGATCGTGGTCCACACTTTAATTTCACTTAACCTAATTAAAGAGTTCAGCAGCATTCATTTTAGTCCCATCTTTTAATAATTTTTTTTTTTATTGTTTGTTTGTTTTTTAATTTGCATGTTCTGTGACATCAGAGAGGTCAAACTCAACCAAGCCTGGTTCCACAAACACCACTCCTCTCATAACATAGTTCTTTATGTCTTTGTAAGCCACTAGCCTAAATTCTCACATTTAAAATACTTACAGGTCAGAGATGTTGAACCCAGTACTCGACAGGCATGGGTCAAAACAGGGTAAGTTATACATAGTGTTGTATTGGTGAAGTTTGGTTAGATTAAATAAATTTGTATTTTAAACCTAAATAAAAACTGTTTTGCTTGTTCCGTAGTGGAGGCTCTGGTCTGTATGGAATTGACAGTATGCCGGACCTACGTAAAAAGAAGCCTATCCCATTGGTCAGCGATGTGGTCAGTACTCACCTATTGTTTATTTTCCTATAAATACACCGTATTTTGTATCTCATTCAGTTTGTTTTGTTCTTTACTGTGAGTGTTTCTGTAAATGAGACCAGTACAACAATAGTTTTTGTTTGTTTGTTAGTTTTTCTTTTACACTGAATTTGGGATGGAGTTGTTTCAAAGAATGGAGACAAATATGAAATCAGCCTGCTAATGTCTCTCTCCCTCCTCTCTTAAACCCAAAATTATTCCCCACAACTCTCTTGAATGCATTCACTCTCCTTGGTCAGGCTATGGTAAGTTATAGAACCTAGTTGACACTCCCTTTTCTACTGAAGTACAAAATAAACTAGGACAGTTAACAGTAGTCACCAGGCATAGTATGTTGATCTCTGCCATACTTCCTGTTTATTACAATTGAAGACATTTGCATGTGTCCTTTTGGTCCTGGGTTACTTTTCTTTCTATTCAACATTCCCATCAAAATACATTGCCAACAGGTCATTCCCTCACCTTTTGGTTAACGTTGTTTTTCTTCTTTTTGATCAAATTGACTGGATAGAATAAACTACTAACAAAGGCCTGTCTATGTTTTATAATGTTGACTTTGGGCTAACTTGCTTGGTACTAATAATACTCACATGGGTTCTCACCATATGGTAAGTGTTCATCAAGTTCATAGAATAAAGATAATAACAATTCTATTAACCACCTTTATAACTAACCCCTCAAACCTTTTAACTATATTGACTTTTATTGTTGCAGAACTGTTTTTCAGTGTGCTTGGTTGTGGGTTGTTTTGACTTTGTACACATACTTTGCTGATTTTTTTTTCTTTGTATTTGTCATGTTGTTCAGTCCCTTGTCCAAGCCAGGAAGGCAGGAATCGCATCTGCAATGGCTGCTCGATCATCAATTAAGGATGAGGAGCTGGTGAGTATGCGGGGGAAAAAAAACTTCTGCTTTGCATCTTGGAGATTGTCGGTTTCAAAAACTTCCCAGTGACACAGTTTTCATGGTTGTGACTCCATCGGCCTTTCAGAATAAGCACGTCCTTATAACTGATAAGGGTTTTGTTTTTGTTTTTGTTTCCCTGGATTAGGACTTTTAAAAATAGATCTTCTTCCTTCTGTAGAAAAATCATGTCTACAAGAAGACCCTGCAGGCTCTTATCTACCCCATATCTTGCACCACACCACATAACTTCGAGGTGTGGACAGCGACTACACCTACATACTGCTATGAGTGTGAGGGGCTCCTGTGGGGAATCGCACGGCAAGGCATGCGTTGTTCTGAGTGTGGTGTCAAGTGCCATGAAAAGTGCCAAGAATTACTGAATGCTGACTGTCTGCAGCGTGAGTACTAAGGAAATGTTTCACAGAAGTTTCCATCAGGGATCTGAAACTACATTTTTACGTTATCGGGAAGCTGTTTCATTACAATTTTGTCTCAAATGTTTAAGAATATTTTCCCCACATTAAAAATCATTTTTATTTAACTTGTAACCACTGAAGTGGCATATGTATATTTTTTAGTTTCAAGCCTTTTCGGTCTGTTTTTTCTTTTTTTTTTTAAAATAAATATTTAGGTGCGGCAGAGAAGAGCTCTAAGCATGGAGCTGAAGACCGCACTCAAAATATCATCATGGCCATGAAGGACAGGATGAAGATCAGGGAAAGGAACAAACCAGAAATCTTTGAGCTGATCAGGGAAGTGTTTGTCATCAGCAAAGCCATCCATGCACAGCAGATGAAAACCATCAAACAAAGCGTATTGGATGGGACGTCAAAGTGGTCAGCCAAGATCACAATCACAGGTATTTTGCCATCACAGCTCAACGACAACTTTGGAGCTATGTTACATGTGCTCTCTGTAATTTTTTATTGTTTCTTATGTCTTGGTTAGTTGTTTGTGCACAAGGACTTCAGGCAAAAGACAAGACAGGATCCAGTGACCCGTATGTCACTGTTCAGGTGGGCAAGACCAAGAAGAGAACAAAGACCATCTATGGAAACCTCAATCCAGTCTGGGAGGAAAAGTTCCATTTGTGAGTCGTTTCTTGGTTATGAAATCAAAAAAGTTGTTGGGGGGGGGGGTTGTTGTTTTTTGTTTTGTTTTTGTTCCTTGAGTGCTTGTTATCAGTAGTGCTATAAGTGCTCACCTTAATTACTCCCTTGTAGTATCTATCATCTTGTAACTTAATATTATTCAGTTTATGTTTCTTTTTTGCTCCTTTTTTTGTTTTGTTTTGTTTTGTTTTGTTAGTGAGTGCCACAATTCCTCAGACCGAATCAAAGTGCGAGTGTGGGATGAAGATGATGACATCAAGTCCAGAGTGAAGCAGCGTCTGAAGAGGGAATCTGACGATTTCCTGGGACAGAGCATCATTGAAGTCCGAACGCTGAGCGGAGAAATGGATGTCTGGTATAACCTGGGTCAGTTGGCTTTCTTGTCTTTTTTTTAATAGACATCATGAAGAAAACTGTATAGCATATGCAGAGGGGAGGCAGCGTCACAGAACGCACAGTGTAAGTGGTCATAATGGGTCCTCGACAGCGCAATCTGAGAGATAGTGTGAATATGACTTTCAAGTAAAGCTCAGCTAAATTTATTTATGTATTTATCTTTTTTGTTAAATGCATCAATACCTACTAAAACTCCCAATATCTACTCCCAATCTTTTGGTCACACCTTGTATCATGTTACCATGCCTGTTTATAACCTGGATCTCATCTGCTTGTTACATCAATTTCACATCTGTATGTTTTTGTTTGGCGCTAAAAGCCTTGCTTTCAGCAAGTCCAGTCTGTTGTTTGTACCTCATTAGTCACATCTCCTTTCCCTGCAGCAAACATATTTATACCCAGGCATGTTGCTTCCCTAAGGCCTGTGTTGGTCTGCATGAAAATACTAGCTTATTTGATTACATTTTAAATGAGTTTCTCCCTGCTAGCAAGAAGTTGTGATCATTTTAAGGAAAAAGTTTCACGATAATCCCCCAATTCTATCCCTAGGGTGTGCAGGCAGTTTCATTAGGATGATGCCTGAACAAAATAATTAACAAGTATACAGGATCTGATTTCTCAGGCCTGTGTGCTAGTCTACATGAGCACTAGTTGTGCAGCATGAATATATGTAGCTTGAATACCTCTCAGGATAAAATCTAATCCCAGTCTTGTGGGCAAACAAATGTTGTCTTTAGAATAATATTTCTGAATTACTGTCTCTGCGTCTTCGTATCTCTTCATATGTTGTATGTAAGGGTGAGGTGTTCACTTTTCTTAAGCACATTTTTTTGTTCATACTTGATTAAAGTGCTAAAATTGACCTGACAGCAGCAGTAATAAATCTTCAAGTGCAACAGCTTGTCACTGAATATGAATGTGCCCATAAATCTACCGTTGTTGTTGTTTTGTGTGGGGGTTTTTTTGTTTGTTTTTTTAAGCTAGGAGATTTGACTTGCTTGGTTTAATATCTCCCTGAAAACTGTATGATCAAATATTTATTTTGATAGGTTTTATTATGAATTGGATTTGAATGCTTAATTAATGATTAATGATGTAATATACCTAGTTCATGAGAGAAAGGGGGGAAAAAACAAAACATTTTCACTATCTCTTTCTCCCTCCCTCTCTGACTCTCTTCCTTTCACCTCCTGATATGTGATTATCAAGTAGCAGCACTCCAGTCGGAAATCGACCACTCTAGCGACATGTACAAATTACCCCAAATGATTTGCCTGTCAGGGCAAATAGCAGGGGTGAGCTGCCAAGAACTCCACCTCCAGAAACACTCTAGCTCAAATGTCTTCTGTTATCAGGCACAGACTCATGCAGCCCATTGCCTTTGTTACACTCACTATCAGCTGGAGGACTTCTATTATCATCGCTGACTCTGGACGACCATCAAACTGTAGAAACAGAAGCCCTTACAATAGAATTGCCAAGCTAATAGTCTGTGATTAGGGTTGTGTTAACAGACCTAGTTTAGAGTGCCTTTGGTGTCACAGATTTGGACTCAAGTTATGAATCAAGACATTCCCGATGTGCATCTGATTGACTGTTTTGTACTTAAATACAGAGAAGAGGACAGACAAATCAGCTGTGTCTGGTGCCATTCGCCTCCAAATCAACGTGGAGATCAAAGGAGAGGAGAAAGTGGCTCCATATCACGTGCAGTACACTTGTTTGCATGAGGTATATGATTCACAGAATCACGATTAATTACCTAGACACGCTGGATATTCAGCAAGTTCTCCACACAAAGGGTTTGCATAAGTGGTTGCAACCACTATTGTAGCTGTTTCAATGTGTTGCACAGATTGACTGCAGACGTGATAGATTTGGACAGGATTAAAGGCACAGTGATATTTCCATAATCCAACCTCTTCCCTGAAAAAAACAAATCAAATTTTGAATCAGGGCTAAAGGACCTGTGCTTATGAAACTGAAAATCCTATAATCTGTCAAACCAAAGCTTTTCAAGTCTGTATTCTACACACATCCAGTAAAAATAATATTAAGCGTAAATTGCAACAATCTCATCATATTTGTTTCAGTAAAAAGCCACCATAACTTTACCATCACTTCTCACGCTTTAGTGTTAGCTCTGAAGTTCATGTGAATTAGATCAAGTCTGTCCATTTCTTCCCATTACAGAACTTGTTCCATCATTCAACTGATGTACTTGGTCAAGGTGTGGTAAAAATTCCAGAGGCTCGTGGAGACGATTCTTGGAAAGTCTACTTTGATGATGTGGGACAGGAAGTAGTGGATGAGTTTGCCATGCGCTATGGGATTGAGTCCATCTACCAGGCCATGACGTGAGTCTAAAAACACAGTGAATTGGACTGTCTTCTTACCTGTCAATATGTGTTACCTCTTTATTCCCCATGTTCCTTTCCCTGTCTTTTGAGGTCATATCAATAAACCTCTTGGTGCCATTGTCATTCTCTGGCCTTCAGATGAGGTACAGTCAATTATAAACAGGGTGAGGATGGATGTGTCTCACTGCAGTGTCATCATCCATACAGATGACTATTAGCTAGGTCAATCATTCGCAGAAAAATGCTTCAGTGGGCTATTATTCAGTCTAAATGTGTCAGGTAGGTGATGGGCAGATAGCACGACAATTCCTAATAGAAATTGTCACGTGAAAACAAGAGCCTGTAGTACATGCAGACTGTCCAAATAAAGGTATTTGAACTGGATGCTGACATTATTGCAACAAAGTATAAGCAGGTACACATTGTTGAAGAAGTCTTAAGGCCTCCCACCCAAGTACTTACCAAGCTTTGCATTTGCTACTCTATGCAGGCACTTTGCCTGTCTGTCTTCTAAGTACATGTGTCCTGGAGTCCCTGCAGTGATGAGCACCCTGCTGGCCAATATCAATGCCTTCTACGCCCACACAACAGCCTCCACCAATGTTTCTGCCTCCGACCGCTTTGCTGCTTCTAATTTTGGGGTTTGTACTACTGACACACACACAGACACAGTAAAGTACTTTGTTTTGTTTTATTTTGTTTTCTCTTCCTTTCTTCGCTATTGCATTTTATGCACAAATAGATTGCCAAACTTCTTTCTAATATAGGAACATGTTTTTTCCCCTTTTCTTCCCATACAGAAAGAACGCTTTGTCAAGCTCTTAGACCAGCTGCACAACTCCTTACGCATTGACCTTTCTAGTTATAGGGTGAGATTCTTGTATCACTACTAGTGTCTTGTTTTCTAAATGTACATGTCTAATATTTTTGTGCCAGTAAAAAACAAAAAAAAGAATTTTTTCATCATCTGATCAATGAATATTTTTTGTGCAAATTGTGCCAACAGTCTTTGAAAAGTGTGAAAACTTGTAAACTAAACGTGTTTTTCTTCTTTAGAATCACTTCCCTGCCAGCAGCAAGGATCGCCTGCAAGATCTGAAATCCACTGTTGACCTTCTAACCAGCATTACCTTTTTCAGGATGAAGGTAGGTAACATTGCATATTCTTTATCTGTAGTTCAGCTTTGTAGTATCTTCTTATCAGTTTGTTGACTTGAATGTTTTTTCCCTTGAAGTTGTTGCCAGATATTGACAAGTTGATAAAATATCCCTTGTTTGCAGTCATCTACTGACTCTGTAGCTATCTTCATCTTCTTTCCAGGTCCAGGAGTTACAGTCTCCGCCCAGAGCCAGTCAAGTTGTGAGGGATTGTGTCAAAGCTTGCCTCAACTCTACATACGACTACATTTTCAATAACTGCCACGAGCTGTACAGCAGACAATACCAGCCTGTGGACACGGTGAGTCACACAGCTGCAGGATACAATGTGCAGCTATCAGACTCTGTAGCAGCAGGCCGGTGAATAAATGTTTCAATAAAGGGGCGACTATAATGTTAACTGTTTTCCTTTTGGTTTTTATTCAGAACAAGGAGGAGCTTCCTCTGGAGGAGCAGGGTCCAAGCATCAAGAATCTGGACTTCTGGCCCAAACTCATCATGCTCATTGTTTCCATCATTGAAGAAGACAGAAACTCCTACACACCTGTACTGAACCAGTGAGTCATGCAACTCTACTCCTAAAATATTCAAGCCGCTTGAATACATCAAAATCAGGTCTCCTTATTTTTAGGTTTTACTTCAACTGCAGTAGTTCAACAAAATGTTTTTCTTGATTCTTTTTCCAGAGATCTAGGACATTTTTATGGATGCTTGCATTAATTAAACTCAGGAATCCACTAGGTTTCACCTTGTCACATCTTCCCATCTGTCTCAGGTTCCCTCAAGAACTTAATGTAGGAAAGGTGTCAGCAGAGGTCATGTGGACATTGTTTGCACAGGACATGAAGTATGCTATGGAAGGTAGGTCTTGGTATTCTGGACTCTTTATAAGATTATTCTGCTGGGTTAGACTGTGGAGGTGCACTGTAGTTTGTCTGCTAGAAGTAAAGGAAAAAGCTGGAGAGTCAGGGTGTGATAACAAGCATATGAGAAAAGAAGCTCTGGGAACCTAAAATGACCAGAAGGGGAGAGGAAATACTGGGGTAGCAATGACACAATGGAACAGAAGAAGTTGGAGAGAATATAATAAATGTGCTAGGATTGAAAGCTGCTTATGTGTCCCTGGAGCCTCTCTGCACTTTTTCTCTATTATACTGTACTCCACAGCGCTATTGGTGTTCAGAGACACCCGGTTTTTATTCTAGCCCTTGTCCTCAAAATGAATCCCCTACAGAGACTAGTCTGAAATATCTGTTTCACAAAATGCATCAAAACACACAAGTGGCGCCTTCTTTATTTTCAATCTGAATAAACATGAAAAGTTCATAGATGGAGAGTTTGCTACAGAGACGAAACACTGAGTGCTTACGATTCAAAGCTCTAGCTGTTATTTTTAAGCATGTCAATAAAAAAGAACCTGCATCTGCTCATTTTAAGGCTAATCAATATTTTGTAAACATTTTAAAGTTCTCACAGTCTTTGATTGTATTACTACCTTATATCTGTGTAGCTGCAGTTCAAGCAGGCCACGCCATTGCTTGATATTAATACATCTCATCTCAGAAAAAACATTCAAAGCGAATAAAGCAAAGACTTTTAGAATTTAGTCACACCACATTCTACAGTGAGCAAATACATAAAATGGGATTAGTGTGTGTGTTCTTTCGTCTTTGTTGAGCATTAGGCCGTCAGAGAACATGTTTCCCAAAGAAAGCTTTTGGATTAGTCCGATTTTTTTTTTCCTTTAATAAGAGGATACTGTAGAATTATTTTACAAGTTCATTCAGAATTTAAGTGAAGAACAACGACATACACTAGAATTTAGAAACGATTTCATGTTAAGGTGGGGTTTTTTTTGGGGGGGGGGGGGGGGGGGGGGGGGTTGTATGCATTGGGGTTCTTTGAGGTTTTGTTACAATACTCAGATGTCCATATGCACCATATGATTGCTTCACCTTACCTTTTGGCTGTCTTATATTAGCTTTTACTAAAATGGGGACGTTGACTTTAATCTTCACATCCCTAAGTTCATATGGCTCCTTATGTTTTTAAACCGGCAGAGCATGAGAAGCACAGGCTGTGTAAGAGCACAGACTACATGAACCTGCACTTCAAGGTCAAGTGGCTCTACAATGAATATGTCAAGGAGCTGCCAGTGTTTAAGGGTGTTGTACCAGACTACCCATCGTAAGTGCATTTGACCTTTTCAGTGACAGGCACAAGAAAAGGCAAATGTTATTGCCTTTTTTGACTTTGATAATCCATCTAAACAAAGATAAAAGGAACTGTGTTAAAAAAAAAAAACATATTTGCTAATCTTTATTTCTCACTTTTAGATGGTTTGTGCAGTTTGTGCTACAGTGGTTGGACGAAAATGAGGAAGTATCTATGGAATTTATGAATGGAGCTCTGGAAAGAGACAAAAAAGATGGAGTAAGAAAACTAGAACTTACCCTTTGATATGATATCTCTACGATACCTTTGAGGTTCTAATTTAAAATAGTGCTGAACTGAAAAAAGTTATCTTTGTGTTTACAGATACAGCCATGCTATCAGCATGGGGACATTAAAAAGCTGCTTTAAAATCTTGTTGATGTTCTTTAACATTCTGCTTGTAGATGTTGTTTTATCTACTATATGAGTGTTGATAAGAAGTAAGTGTCATTTGTGCACTCATCTCAGTTCCAGCAGACATCTGAGCATGCTCTGTTCTCCTGCTCTGTGGTGGACATCTTCACCCAGCTCAACCAGAGCTTTGAGATTATCAAGAAATTGGAATGTCCTGATCCTAGGGTCATGGCTCAGTATAGTCGCCGCTTTTCCAAGGTAATGTACTCCACCCGATGATGACATTTAAAGTCAAACTAGCTTGATCGAGCTGCATGAAATATGGTGTGCATTTGTGTTTAACAATTCTAGAATTAATAAAGATTTGCTTTAAACTTCCAATGTTTCTGAAAAATGACCACGAAATATGAGGGAAAAAACTATTAAACCACTATAGCAATGTCTTGTGGGACATTTTGACTTTTTGCAAAAGAGAATTTTTATATTGCTGGATTAAAAAGAATTGTTGAACTAGGCATAACAGTTCCCCCCTGTGGAAAAGTCTGCTGAGAAAAATGTCCTACTTTAGAATTTGTTTGTCTCCTTGCTACAGAATACATTAAAGCACATTTTGGAATATTTATGTTGATTAGCGAAACCCCCGAAGTACAATATTATCCCCCTTTGAAGAGATAAGAGAGAAATTTGATTTTAAATAGCTTTTTTTTTTCGTAAATGCCGTTTAAATGCCTTTATTTCTACCTGTCTTTACAGACAATTGCCAAAGTTCTTCTGCAGTACAGTGCCATGCTGACCAAGAATTTTCCATCTTATATTGACAAAGAGAAGATTGTAAGTTTTTTTTTTTTCCTGCCAATTTCTGCCAGTTGTGCTGAAAAAACATTTATTACATTGGACATGATACATAAAAAAAATCACAAAATCACTCTTAACGTCTCTCTCTGTCTTCTTGTAGCCCTGTGTATTAATGAATAATGTTCAGCAGTTAAGAATCCAGCTGGAAAAGATGTTTGAGTCAATGGGTGCCAAACAGGTGAGTCTAAATATGATGGATATGAAGACATGATGCATGATGGTATCCGGTTTTGTTAATAAATTGGTAGCGTCACTCGTGTAGAAAAAAAGAAAAACATCAGTCATTCATGAAATTACATTTTAAATTTGCTGTACAACAGTTGCATTTGTGTCTTTCATGTGTCAGATTGCAATACAAGAAGCATTGGTGCGTACAGTAGTGGTAGTTTAGCTAATTTAAAGTAAATGGCAAATGTTAATGGATTAAGATGTGTTAAGATGTGACATAGTAGCATTTGCTTACGCTTTGAATATTATCTTATATTCAGATCTGTATGCTTAATGCCTGATGTGAAGCTGTCAGTGAAAGTGTAGCCCTAGATCAGTGGTTACAGTGGTTAGCCCTATGCTTCTTAATAGACAGAGTATTGAAGCAGAGACTTAATTTAGTCATGTCCTCCATATCAATATTGTAGCTAGAGCATTGAAAATCAATAGCTTTTCTCCTAGCTGTTACCTCCCCACTGCCTTCATTCCCTACAACATTTCTGCATGCAGTATCATAGCTATATGGAACCCTTTTTAAAATTTTTTTATTTAACTTATACTGTTGGAGTGATCGTAGGATGATAGCTGTGGGATGCTGTAGCCTATATTTCAACCAAATGTTTTCACTTTACAATTGAAGCAAAATGAAATCATAGAAGAGGAGGAGGAAGAAGAAGAAGAGGTACGGTTCCAATATAGTCTGGTCAGGGTGGATATTTATCCATATAAATGTACATCTTTCTAATATAATTAAATCATTTTCATGGTGTGCTGTGGAGCACCGTATTGATTATTTCCTTTATGCTGTGGCTTGAGTAGCAGGTTGCAATTGAGGATGAAGCAAAGGCTCCGGTGGGTATTGTGGATTGCAGCAGTTAGACTTTAACTAATCAATAATTAAATTTATTGTAATATATCATAGTTCAGTCTTGTTAGCCTGTAGTTTACATTGTGCAATATTTACTTTAAACCAGTAGTGTCATAATCTTATGTAGTCCACAACCTTCCTTTATCATGCAGAGTAGCTGAAGTACCCTCTCAAAGCTCTTGTGTGTCACAGTGAATGTTGATTTAGCTTCCTTAGCTTGTAGATCGGTTGCAATTTTGGGGGTGATTTCTTTTTTTAATATAAGTGTAACCTGCTGATTCCATTTGTTTTTTCTAAGAACTATCACTGAGCATATACAAACAGAAACATCTTCTCTTTGTTATAAAATCTTTTTAAAATATAAGAAGATGTTAAACGTTGTAAAAAAAAAAAAAAAGATACAAATAACAACGTTCTAGTTACTTTTAGCCTTTGTTAGCTTCTTTGAAGTAAGTCTATTCAGCTTGGTTAAGGTCATTTGAGTGTGTTATTGTGTTTGCTTTTACAAACGTTTTAATTGTGGTCTCCTTCCAAGCTGCTTTGGTGAACTTTGCGTCTAATGACGTGTTAGCCTGTAGCTGTTAATGTGTGCACATCTACTTGCCTGCGCGTGTTGCGCATATATTACAGTTCTTGACCTTCATTGGTGCGTTTGTTTTTGTAGTTTGATTGTCGTGTTTATTTTTAGGGTGATTCCTCAACATAATCATAGATGAAAGGCATTAACTGAAACATAGTGAATGCTCTGTGTGTGCGGGTGTCTCAGACTGGCACTTCCATTAATTACATCACTGAATATTGAGTAAAAGGAAAATAGTTTGCATAATATTATTACAAAATCTTATTCCTTGACTGTGATGGGTCACTGACGGATTTGCTATATTTGTTATATTGATATATATACATGTGTATATATGGTATATTTCTGCTCACATTCTGCAACTTCTGTCAGTGCTATGCTACTGGAAACAGAATTTTCCAGAGGAACCTACCCAAGGGATAAATACAGTTTCATCTAATCCAATCTATCTAATCTAATCATATTTACCACCACCTTTTTATCACCTACTTTAACCCATGTGGTAGTAATAATAGGCAGGTAACCTGTATTGTGAATTATTATGATTATTTACAATATTGACTAGAAATAACAGGTACTTGTATTTTGCTTCATGTCTCTTAATGCAATTACATAAATAATATGTGATATTTTACTGTAAAACCAATATAATAGTGATAACAAATTAACAGTTAATTAAAAAAATATTAATTTAGCATAAATATTCCATTTAGCAATACCTTATCAACAACAAATTACCACAAATTCAATAGAAAGAAAGCCACAATGGATAGCTACTGAGCTTAACTGTCTGATAAACTAAATGCAGCAAAATGTGGTGTTGCTACTGCCCCATTTACTTAAATTAACACAAAGTTGGTATCAAAATAAAGATTTCTTTTGCGGACTAGGAAACTTTAACTAGGAAAGTCTTAATATGAATATTTTTTAGCTTATTTTACCCATTACTCTCTTGCTAGTTGGCTAATAAAGCACTCACTCTTTTTTACAGTCCAGTTCAGCTCTTCATTCATTGAAGTGAACTTCTGTAATTATGGAAAATCTATTTCTTTGCACAGAGTAAAGTCAAAGTCATGTCTTTTGTTTTCTCTTTTTCTAGCTCAACTCTACATTAGAATGGGAGGCAAGTCCAATGTATATGTATACATGTTTACATGCCTGCATATACTCACTTGGAAGAAAAGTCTTTTTTTCTTTTTTCTTTTTTTAATATGGTGTGGCGGGTAATGATGAGCCTTACATATTTTGTGTGTTGTCTTTTAACCACCACTCATAGTTTGAGGAGAGTGAGGAAGAGGAAATAAGGGAGAAAATAGAGGCTGAGGTTTGTTGCAGTCCAGAATAGTTTTAACTTCATTCACTTTCAAGTCATTCTTGTGCTCCTATTCCCCCATTGTACTGTGCCTACTCCCAGCAACGGCAGTCATAATCAGTCCTACTGCAACAACAGTTCCTTGTGTTGATCATAGTGGAGTTGATTGAGTTTGTGTCATCAGTTGGGGTGGGAATCTTCCAGTGGCATTTTCCCTGGTTCTCTGCAAACCTGCTCTTATTCCCTGTTAAAGCATTTCGGAGTCTTCTGCTATTGCTTTCCTTTAATTCTTGTTTTTTCTTTGCAATTTCCCCTTTTTTAATGCAATAGTCTGACATGGAGAAGGTGGGTATCAATATCACACACTTTTTCACTTTGAAAAACTTTCAGTATTTATAGTTGAATTAAAATTTTTATACATATTATTTGCCTGGTTGAAAAAGGGGGGGGAAAAAAAAGTTTTTTGACCATTTTTTTTAAACTTTTGTTTATCTCTAATAAAAAACAAACAAACATTCCCATCACACAAAGATGGATGCACCAGTAGAAAAGGTAGGCAATCCTTTTTTCCACAACACCTTGTGGAATCAACCTCTTGTAGTTTCCCAGGTATTATAAATTATTCCGTTATTAACCGTGGTTATCTTCACCTTTCTGTGCCAATGTAGACTGAAAATGCATTTGAAGACAAAAAGGTGAGTGTAGGTACACAGACACATCCATTGTGAATATTTCCATACACGCCAAAAGCTGGAAAAAAAAATGCAGCATATGCAGCATCAATTCATTCCTAGCGCCTTTCCTTCCCTGCAGCCTCTCATCACGGTGCTTAGCACAACCCTCTGTTTATTCTCACTAATGGTGCTACCTAACCCTGACAAGCCATGAATCAAAAGGCCATTGAATCATTGACTTAATGAGCCACACCATGGCTTCATCCATATGGCTTAGCTCCCCTCCAGGCAGTGCTAATTTAGATGATGCCTCAGTTATACCTGAGTCAGATATACTTGAGTTACAGTAATTCAAGAATTGTTTCCCTACTTTTTCCCTTCAGCCTGTCCTTGTAAGTCTTATTGCTTGCAATACATCTACTACATTTTTTTTTTTGGGGGGGGGGTGTAAATGTTCCACCTCTGGAAAGTTGAAGACTGCTGTGAAAAAAGTGTGATTGCTCTGATGTATGCGTGTGTAATTTCTTTTTCAAGGGTGTCTGATATTGAAATTACTGTGCTGCAGGAGGATGGAATACAGACATTTTACAACTTGAAAAAAGCTGCATAACACCCACAAGCTATTCAGGTTTCCATGAAAATCTTAAAATCGTGCTGCCATTCACTGCTTCTTGGCTTTTACTGTGAAGTGCAGCTTTTAGAGGTTCAAAGGTAATTTGTGCTATTTTGGCCCAAAGTTGCAAATGTCAGATTGAAACTCTTATATGAACTGCTGGTTGATGGTTCCAGGAATTCCATTCACTGGAAAACCTGGCACCTCCATTCTACATTCAGTTGAATATGCTTGATTTTCAAAGTTTCGAAAACTTTTTTCTGCCAAAATATTTCAGAGCTCTTCTTATACCATATGCGCAACACAAAAGCCTCAGTCAAAATGATTCATTATCCCTCCTGGGCATGATGTCTTTGCTTGTCTTTAGATGGACACAGAGGCTTGTGACTTGCTGAATGACCTGCAGGTGAGGCTGAACAATGTGCTGGATGATCTAAGTAGAACCTTTGGGAACAGGTATGTACATTGTACTGGTGTGTATACAACTGTGAAAGCTAACACACATTTGTGCTGATTGATAATGTATTTATTTATTTATTTTAATTCCAGTTTCCAGACTCGCATCAGCGAGTGTATGCGACAAATGGCATCTTTGCTGTACCAGATCAAAGGACCAGTCAATGCCAACAACAAAAACCAGGTGGAGGCTGACTCTGACAACATGCTACGGCCACTCATGGACTTCCTGGATGGAAAGTGAGTAGTTGTTTTAGCCAAACTACGGTGTTTTCTGTTTATTCATTGAATTGTCCTGTAGTCTAATTTTTTTTTTTTTTTGCTGAGATAATTTGGTGATTAATTAATTTGGTAAAATGTTTTTTCAGAGCAAAAAAGACGTTTTTGCAACTGCAAAACTGTTAATTGTGCATTTTTGCTAAAAGACATATTTTTTTCCATTCATGAATGACTTCTCAGTATTGTTTATATGTTTAAAAGGAATAATACAAGCACTTGTGAGAGTATGTTTACAACGTCTATGTGTGTGTTCTTGCAGACTGACACTGTTTGCTACTGTGTGTGAGAAGACTGTATTGAAGCGTGTGCTCAAGGAGCTATGGAGGATTGTAATGACCAGCCTGGAGAAGACTATTGTCCTGCCACAGGGCAATGATACCTTTGTGAGTCAGCATTGACTTTGCCTATTTCTAATATTACAAAATTATTAACTTTTTTCATACATAAAAATTTTTTTTAAAATTATATTCCAGGGAGCACAGATTCTCTCAGCTGCAAAAGAACTGGGTCAGCTCTCCAAACTCAAGGTATCATATTGCCTCCACATATCTGAACAATAAGTGTCCTCAAATGGGCTTCGGTGTTACCCTAATTTAAAGAAGTGTCCACAAAATGTGCTTACTAAGAGTGTAAGTATTTTTATTTCACCTTTTTGCTCACCATTTGGCTGTGTAGGATCACATGGCAGGGGAGGCTAAAAGCCTGTCCCCCAGGCAGTGTGCTGTCATGGATGTGGCACTGGACACAATTAAGGTCAGTTTGTACTCTGGGTTTTGGTTTCATTAGGATGCTGTCTCAGATTAGCTTCATCTGCTATTTATATCTGCTATTTATTCATTAATTCATTACTAAACTTTTTATTTTGCTGTAAAAGATGTCAGAATATTATGAAACAAAATATTGGATGCTTGCAGCTGTGCATCTAAATATTTATGACCTAACTCACCCTGTGTCTCTTTGCAGCAATATTTCCATGCAGGAGGGAATGGGCTGAAGAAGGCCTTCCTAGAGAAGAGTCCTGAGCTGTCCTCACTCCGCCACGCTCTGTCCCTCTATACTCAGACAACAGACACACTCATCAAGACGTTTGTGACCACACAACAAGCACAAGGTAACTGATAAAAGTATCTAATAGTAAAAAGGTACAGAAGGAAAGCCTTACCAAAGATAAACCAGCAGAGGGTGCTATGTGCTCATGATTAGAAAGGTCCTTTCACCAATTGCTCCATTTTTTTTTTTTATGTGTTGTTGATGCTGGAACTTGTTGATGTATCATTGCTGTCTTCTCTTTATCTCCTGTGCTGCCTCTGTGCCAGTGCACAATGGAAAGGGTATTAGGTTAACTCCCAATGAAAAAATACAACCCAGCAGGGGTAGGTTTCATTGAAATCAACTGCCAACCTCCCTTTCTTCCCCACACAGTCTCCTTTTGCACAATTTGGTTTTGTCATTCTGTTGGTAGGTCATTCCTTACCCATCCTCTACATCTGCATTTCCCTTCCATCCTGACCCTGCGTTATTACTTGGTTTTCTTTTCTTTTCTGTATTTTGCCTACATGTGGTCACATGTAAACTTACTTAACGTGTGTGTGTTTTCATGAAAATTAGGATCAGGTGTGGACAAACCAATTGGAGAGTTGTGTATCCACATTGAGCTTTATACTCATCCAAAGAGTGGAGAGAGGAAAGTTACTGTTAAAGGTCAGTCTGAGTTTTTTTTTTTAAAGTGATGTAAAAAATGTGGCATTTTAAGCAACATTTGCTCTTCAGCTGACAACATTATCATGTTGCGCATTTATTACTACAGTTGTGGGGGCCAGTGACTTAAAATGGCAGACGTCTGGCATGTTCAGACCCTTTGTGGAGATCACCATGATCGGTCCTCACCTCAGTGACAAGAAACGGAAGTTCCAGACCAAGTCCAAGAACAACAGCTGGTCTCCCAAGTTCAATGAAACCTTCCATTTGTAAGTCCATTTGGGTTTTTTTTCCTCCAGATTTTGCAGTTTATGAAAAAATAAGCAAAACAGAAAAACTTGGAAAGACTAATTTTGGCTGCAGCTCATATGTAATTCAAATCTATATGTAAAATGTATATGTCCATTCGGGGATTTGCACAACAATATTTTGATTGATTTCCACTAGAAAAGTAAATATAAAATCATGTCAGTGGGTCATTGATGTTGAGACACTACCTGAAAGTCTTTTGCAGCTTTAAGCTGACAGATACACCATTAAGCTGTTGGAGAACTCAAAGCACGTAACGCTCTGTTCTCTCTTCACAGTGTTCTGGGTAACCAAGATGGCTTTGAGTGCTATGAGTTGCAAGCATGCGTCAAAGATTACTGTTTTGGTCGTGCCGACCGGGTGGTGGGTTTGGTCGTGCTGCAATTAAGAGACATCATGGAGAAAGGCAACTGCGCCTGCTGGTGCCCCCTTGGACAGCGTATATACATGGACGACACAGGCCTCACTGCCTTGCGAATCCTGTCTCAAAGGTCCAATGATGATGTGGCCAAGGAATTTGTGAGGTTGAAGTCAGAAACTCGATCAGCAGAGGAGGGCAGATGAGGATATCCGGAGAACAAGACGGAAAACAAAAGGATGGAAAATCCTCTCCGAGTTTTATTGTAGATGAACATGTGGACTCTTTCTTGGACCTGTGATGTGTCTTAGCTGCTGTTGACTGTTTGGTAGTGGGTTGCCATTTCTCTTACATCACTGCTATGTTCTCACCTTGGTTTTTTTTTTGTTTGTTTGTTTGTTTGTTTGTTTTTTGACCAACAGTCACTTTGCAGTGTTCCTCAAACATCCATATTATTTGCTTTTCAGCAAACAGCCACATAAATGCTGGCTCACTCAAGCTTCACACTCAACAGCTGTTTCACAGGTTAGTGACCACTTACTCAGCTATTTAACCTTATTTGTAGCTCCTTTGTCATCAGCCGGAGCGGCACGGTGAGCATGTCATAGCCTCAAGGGAACAGATGATGCCAGGTCCTGTTGAAGGGCCAAACAAATCTCTGCACTTCCCTGGTGCAGAGATTGTGCAATAACCCCACCTCACCCCAAACTGTGGCCAAGTGTTTTATGCCTTACACTCTGCAAACTGTGAATGTGTGAAGTAGGCTTTTAAAAACCATATTCTCTATCTCCTTGGGTGATGGTTTGGGTAAATGTGAAAATACTATGTTTTATCTTATAAAGGAGTGTTTTGTTTGATGAATGAACGAGCACTAGCTAGGACACAATCCTGGTCAAGTACTGACATACTTTGTGAAATGAAGGTACTTAAAGTAACAAACCTTAATTTTGCTAATTTCACAGATCAATTTGAAGGATTAATTGGTTTAATGTGTGCCTTGCCATGTGAAGTTTCCAGCCCTATTTCCCTGGGAAAAGGAATAGCTAGATATAAAACCTGAGGGAATAAAAATCAGTAACAATAAGGTTTAACTAAAATCCTCATGAAAATTCACTGTGGAAGTTTAACAAGAGTGCTATTTGAGCCATCTTTATTTAGCTCATGTAGCCTAGTATAACCATGATGGTGTAACCATTTTATTTATTTATTTTATACGTATTTATTTTTGTGTTTCAAAACTTGTGATGGAATTATTGTTTACCACCAAAAATGGACGTATTTACCACGACAGTGTCAAAGGATTTGCACAGTGGTTGGTCTAAGCTGCTGATGTAGCCTAAATTGGGCCTGAATTGCAGCTTCATAACAAGTTGAAATACACACCCTCAAACTAAAAGTGACAAGCAAGTGCTTGTCATGCAATTAATAACCAAGGTAACCATGTGTGTCCTTGATTTAAGAGATAATTGTCTTGTTGAATTATTCATTTAGAAATAGTAGATGTTGAACTTTCTTCCAAAAAATAAAATCTGCATATCTGGACAAATATTTAAAGTTTACATATATAATTCTGTCCTGTTTTCTTCTACTCTTTGGAGTGGCCTTACTTTGATGAAAAGATAATAAATAAAGAAAAGTAATCTTTTTTTTTCTTTGTTTTGTTTTCTTTTTTTAATTGCTTTTTTTTAAAGCCCTTGTATTTCCTTTGGCTTACAGCAATGATGACTAGCTACTTCTTTGCCCATAAAAATGTTCATTGTCCAGTTTTCCAAGTGATTTTCCATATCATTTTATTGGGTATATTTATCTGGGTTAGGTTTTCTTTTTAATGTGTTATAGTTAGTGTTACTTTATTCTTTCTGATGTTATAAAAGCTTTCCTTGGTCGTCCTTATTAGTTTACGATGGGTTTTTTTTTTCAGTTGTGTGGACTGAAGTGATGTGCGTCAGTGTTGTGATGTAATGGAAAATGTGAATGTTAGACTTAATGAAAAATGATTATTGCTCTATTATAAAACCCTCAGTGCGTGCACATTGTGAAACTGGTCACAACCACAACTCAATGCTCCTCTTTGTTACAGTGTATTAACCCCTGTGAATAATTAACGTTATTGGTTTAAGAGGGTCAATGTTTCACAGCCATTCTCTAAGCTACATGTTCCTTGTGCCAAGTTGCTACTGTTTATTTTTGATCACTTTTTTTGTGCTTTCAAAATTTTTAAACCCCTATGCTATCACTAAATCACTGCTGTAGTTATCAAGTACAGTATGTAAAACACTGTACTTCATTATTTGTGTAATCTTTGTCATTATTGTAAACTGTTGTTGCCATCTAAACATTCCAAATAATTAATTTTGTATAAAATATTTAATAAGTATTTATAAATCTTCTTGCCTGCTCTTTCTCCCACTACAATATGATAGCTTTTTCATTTCACCCAGTGGGTTATAAGAATGCAAATTCTTTATTTTCATTACCACAAACACAGTTGCATTCACTTTTATTGTTTGACGATAGGATTGCAAGATATAAATAAATAAAGATGATGCCCAGATGATTGTTTAAATCATCTGGGCGCACTGGCCCTTTTTCTTGAACTGATGCTGAACTCAGAGAAATAACACCCATCTCTTAATATAGTTTTGGCTTTGGGTTGTACAGCTGTGGTCGGTGGTTTTCGTGCACTCATGGGCATGAATGTCATAGTAATTTGGTGCTTTTAATGATTGATTTCCATGGTAGATTGTGCAGCATGCCTTATCTGATAGCCCTGTGTTGGTGTTGCTCCTGCATCATCATTATCATCATCATCATCATCATCACCACAAAGTCCAGCCTGTTTACCTATTGACTCATTATTGGTCATATTCAACTACAAACGATAGTTTCACTTTGCTAGCATAAAAAGGATTTGTTCGGCATTGCTCAGTGGATTGATTGGAACTCAGAATGACAACTGTAGATTTACAAGTTGGCAAGGTCTTTCTAAAGAAATGCAGAATGCAAGATTATCACTTCAAACATTTGTAAATACAGGTTATTCAAATGTGTCACCACCAAAGGTTTCTTTCAGAAGACAGCGTGACAAACTTGGACACAATTGGGTGTTCCAACAGGACAATGATCCCAAACACACATTAACATTTAATGTTTAACTAAGTTTAATGGCATTATGTTTCTGGACTAGTCTTCCCAAAACTCCAACCTTATTCCTGGTGAGAATGACTACAAGTCAGGTCCATGCCAGGAAGCCAACCAATTTTGACAAGAGTGCTCAAAAATTCACCCAGAATTTTCTCAGAAGCTTGTTGTTACCAAAAACATCTAGTCAAGATACAAGTTCATAAGGGATACTTACCCAGGGATTATCAGGGGTGTATGTATATACTTGAGCCTTTATGTATACTTTGGCCCTGTGTGGATTAGAGAAAACCCTAAGTAAAACTCAACTCATGCACCCAATTCTTCTTTTTTAAATTAATAAAGATCTATATTGTACATTCATTCCACCCTGGGGGAAGAAATCTAAGAAATCATTACAAGTATGTCTTATCACAAAAAACTGTATTAAAAATGTCTTATCACAAACATGCCACAGAAATGTAACATTTTGTTAACATCCATGTGCATTTGTAAAGATTCACTTCTGGCAGCGTGTTTTGACCATTTAGAAACCTAATACGCTTGCATGTCCTCTCATATCAAATGTGCTTTCATTCATCCAGTTTGTTGTTACCAATCAGAGAGCATGCACACACACAACCACACTAAGTAAGAGGGTCATGTTGAGGTCCCCTGGATCTACATATCAGGCATGAAGTCAACCTATTTCAAGCTGTAATAACCACTTGGTAGTAAGTAGTTAAATACATAATTATATTTAATTTATATTAAAAGCAGCCTACTAGGGTTTTCTTATGGTCACAAAGAGGTAAAATTAACTGAATTTAAGAAGCTAAACCTGAACAACTGTTCAGTCTGAACAGTGTGCAGCCACTGCAGGTTGTGTTACATACATGATTATGATAACATTCCCTCTGATTAGCTGAAGCACTTCACCTTTGCTGTTGTTTTACTGCCTTTTCTGTCCTGCACCTACTCAAAATCCAAGTCCAAAGATCACTGTGCTGTTTACACAAGCTCTGAGCTGTTAGGTGCAGGGGATCCCTGGTCTTCCTGTATGAACCTGAAACTTCTGGTGTAGGTGCGACTACAATGCTTCACCTGTTGTTCCTGTTGTCTTTTATCCTGGTGGAGGCCTCAGTTGAACTTCCTTTCTCTGTTTGGGACTAAACTGACACTTGGCTTTCCAGGCAATAGACAAAGGCCGGGATTTGCTTTATCAAAGACGTAAGTAAAAGGAGGGTTAAAATCTTTATCTTTTTCACTGTCTTCTTTATTCAAACACATTTATCTGTGTGCGAGGAGGACCCAGGGGACAAGAGAAGTTATATTGTTGTTTCAGGTATGTGACTAAGTTTCATTTGTTTTCAAACTCAGAAAATTATGATGCTATGATTTTTTTTTTTTTTTTTGTCAGGAACCATCTCAGAAGCTGAACCCTTTAAACCTGACATCATTCAGACTGATCTAATATTTTTGTGAGTGCAAGAAGAAGGATCAGTTGAAACATGCCAACGAATGAGTTGTTGCTTCCGCAGATTTTGTTTTTCCTTCTTAAGAAATTAGGTATCAATTGAAAAGTTAGGTAGTTAATTACTTTTTGTGCTGTTATGCATTTCATTGTCAACATTTTGTATTCTTTATGTCCCACTGATAAACATTTTTCCAGTAAAATTCTATAAAATTACAACACCTGCATATTATTATTGGTAGATTACTGGGCAAGTCAAATGGTCAAGGGTATATCTTTAATCTTTATCTTAATCTGTGTAGTAAGGGATTATTGCACCTTATGTTTAACTACAGTACCAAGAGTTTAAAAGGCCTCTGTATCTTTACAGCTTTGGAGCAAAGATAAATTGTGGGGAGGGGTGGAAATCTTGTCAAGTATGTGAATGTTATATGTCTGCCTATAGCTGGAGAGATATTTTTGGCTTTGTGAAAGCTCAGGATTATTATTTTTGGGATGTTTTGTCTTTCCCTCATCGCCATTTTAAAAGGTGTGCTGTACATATTAAATAGTTCCACCTTTTCTCTATTAATTTTTAAACATTAGATCGCAGTTCTAAACAAACATGACCTTCCAGGAATTAACTGGTTCCCTCTCACTTTTGCCTCACCTTTTGATATAGAAACCCATTTGGTTTGAAATGACTCACTAATTAGAACTGAAAAGTGGACTTTTTTCCAGGTTATAAAACATGGAGAACCTGAGTTAAAGATGGGAACTGTGCTGTCATACTTTGGACAGTTGTGCGGACATAGAAATAAGGAAGGTGAGATTAGATGCACGTAAACTTTGCTCTACTTTACTGCATTGTTCAGTTACTTTATGGCTGTCACAGTTTTAGTTTTATTTATTTTTGTGACATGCAGTGCACATTTCAGCTTTCAGCTCTGAAATGTTTGCAAAACTTAAATTTGAGTTTGTCTTTCCTCAGTACTGCTGTAACATACAGTAGCATAAACTCTCTCCTGCTCTGACTGCTTTACTCTCTCACAGAGAAGGAGAGATGCTTGCGGGCTAATGACAGCACTTTCAACCTATCTTTCCGCTATGCTGTAAGTATATAGACAAATGTTATCATGCCTATTCAGCAGATGACAAGAGAAGCTTTGGACACACCCTCAGCTCAATGCTTTGCTTGTTTGGATTTGATTACTCAACAACAACAAATGTCAAGTGTCACAAAGACAACTCTTTGCATTTACCACTCAATGAACATAAAGTTGTGTATATTTGCATGTTATGACTGAGATACAAAGCATCAGTTGTACATAAATTGTAGCTAAATAATAAAAAGTTTTGTTGAATAAATCTGAGTTGTAGGCAATTATTAGTGAAATCCTAGAAATCTTAGGATTTTTACTGTACCTTGTTGCTGTGTTACATGACTGATGTCAGTTGTTAAACTGACATCAGTCATGTAACTTTCCTCTGTCGATTTCTTTAACTTCAGAACAATGCCATCAAGACCTCCAAATACAACATCTTCACCTTCCTGCCACTTAATCTTTTTGAGCAGTTCAGGAGGCTCGCTAATGCCTACTTCCTCTTCCTGCTCATCCTTCAGGTAGACATGTTGTCAGAATGAATTGCATGCTTAAAAATAGTTATTTTATGCTGCAGGTAGTTATGTGAATGCAAACACTAGCTTATAAAACAATCAGAGTTCAAACTCCACATTGAACACCATCTTTTTAAAGTGTAATTTGATTTTAAAATTAGAAATGACACATATTTTCCTTCTTTATCAAATTATTTTTTTCAACACATTATTTAATGTAAACCATACACTGAAATGAGCTTTAAGGCTTTCAGTTTTCAGATTCTTAAAAGCTCAATTATCAATGTATTAAAACAGCATATGTAACTGTATGTGTGTGTGTGTGTGTGTGTGTGTGTGTGTGTGTGTGTGTGTGTGTGTGTGTGTGTGTGTGTGTGTGTGTTGACAGTTGATCCCACAAATCTCCTCTCTGCCATGGTTCACCACAGCTGTCCCTTTGATATTGGTGCTGTCTATAACAGGAGTCAAAGATGCCAGTGACGATATAGTACGTTGAAATTGTTATTAGCAATAGAGAGATCCTGCTCATTATGAAAACCAAAAATAAGGAACTAATATCAGATTTGGAAGCAAACAGTATCTTTTTCTTGTGTCAACTGAGCAGAACAGACACAAATGTGACGGACAAGTCAATAACCGGAAGGTGGACGTCCTCATGGATGGCCAGTAAGTCTTTGGAAACCCAAATGAAAAAGAAAAGAATACCTTTTGTATGAAGAATTATGCTGTTTTGGATTCATTTCTGTGTTGTATGCCTTTGTTCCCTTCCCTGACAGACTCAAAAATGAAAAATGGATGAATGTTCAGGTCGGGAACATAGTCAAACTGGAGAATAATGAGTTCATCACAGTAAGTTTGGGGAGGCTATAGTAAAGATTTGAAGCAAGTGAAAGAAATTCATTTCAAAAGTAAGTTCCAAACTAAACTCAGTGCTTTTATTTCTTAGGCAGACCTTCTGTTGCTGTCTAGCAGTGAGCCCCTTAATTTAGTTTATGTGGAAACAGCTGAACTAGATGGGTAAGTGTGCTGTACTGTGGTGTTTGTATGCTAGGTTGACAACTAATGTCTAACACTGTCTTGGATTTTCCTTGGTCTCCCCCAGAGAAACCAATCTGAAGGTGAAACAGGCTCTGACTATAACTGGAGAGCTGGGAGACAACATTGAGGCACTCGCTGCCTTTAATGGTGAGAATCTCAA